AAATATCACCCAAAGTGCCCAGCCCCCACTTTGTGCATGTGATCCTGTCATATATGTAACTGAAGGAACATCAAAAGAAGGAGAAAATCTTCAGGAAAATGCCTGAGATACAAATTTTATTTATTTCAAGAAAAGGTGCATTAAAGTAAATTGTTTTTTTGATTTTTATTCTATTGAAATTGATAAAAGTTTAAGAGCTATTTGGAAAGGATTTACACCCAGTAGGAAAATTTGATTAGAACCATTTCTGAGGAAATCTTAAGGGAAAACTTTAATAAAAATGTCTGAGATAAATATTTTATTTATTTCAAGAAAAGGTGCATGAAATTTAATTGTAATTTGGATGTTATTCTCTTGAAATTGATTGAAAGTTTAAGAGTTATTCGAAAAGCATTTACATCCAGAGAGAAATTTCATTAGAACCGTTTCTGATGCAGCATGTGAAAACTCTTTCAACTTTTCACATAGAACGTGCTCGTTTTTAGAACTTTGTTTGAGGTCAAAAAAATACTTTGAAGAAGCCAGCCGAGAAGCTGCATCCTTGAATGGGGTTTATTTAAGAATAGTGTTTACACTAAAACCCGGCGACCCAGCCGGCGGGCAGCTGTGTGTGTGCATCGAGTGGGCCCGTATCTTTTGGATGGAAGATACGGCGCTGCAGCGCCTGCAGATACATTTTCTTATTTTCTTGTTATTTTTAAACAAAAAGTGCACGACCCAAACGCAACGCTGCTTTCTGTGTGTGCGATGTGTGTGTTTATTTGGCTTTGCCTTTGTGTATTTTCTGTCAGATACTAGAAAACTTTGATGAGCGGCGAAACCGAAAAGCCAATATTGTATTCGACACGGCCCAGCATTTGACACAAAGGCAACAACGACGACAATGAACTCTCAATGAAAGTGCAATTAAGTGCAGGCAATGTTCGCCGCTAATTGCATTTATCGCTTAGATGTTAATTATGCTGCCGAGTCTGAGCAGAGCTTCGGCTGATTATGCAGGAGGAGAGCCGCCTCTAGCCGCCTCGAACTCTGGGGAGGTCAATGATATAACAGATGATTAACTGCCGGCATTGTATTTTGCCTCTCTTGTGTTCGTATCTCTCGGTCTCTCTTCGTGGCTAAAGGTCAGGTCACCCATCTGTCTTGCTTGCTGAGATCCAGCCATATCTCAGTGTGGTCATCTTTTCAGATACAGTATCTGGCAGTGTGTGTTGTATTTGTTTTTAGCGCATAACGTGCCGCAGACTACTCTGTCTTTGAGCTGCTTAAACAACCCTATAAATCTGGGTAAATACATTATTTATCACAGTATAGATTTCAATAAATTTCAAATGTTATTCAATGGGAAAAGTTCTTAGTATATTTGAAGCAATATTTACATATTTTACAATATTTTTACTCTGGAAAAGTAATAAAACTGGCGATTTTTACGGCAAACTAAAATGTATATCTTTGTTTTTTCCTTAATTATAACTTGAAATAAATACGTAGCTCAAATAAATATCTAATAATTTAATTGTTTTTATATTTATAATTATAGTTATTATTTCTATTACTCATTTGTTTGTTTAGACAAGAAATAAAAACTAAACTCTGAATAAGATTTTGCCTTTCACTTTTTGCTTGAATTATACAATCAGGCTTTAGTATTTGTCAAGATTCTAAATACATATTTACAAATACAAAAATTAGAAGTAAAGGCTTTCACTTATGAAAAGATTGCTTAAAATTCCTATGATCATATTCCCTAAAGTTATCATAAAAAATCCTATATAAAAGAAAGCTTATGTGAATTTCTAAAGAATCTTTAGCTGAAAGATTCTCGCCATCACTTTTTGCTTGGATTACATCAACAGCTTTTCATATTTATCAAATGCCTGTCCAAACTAATGAGCAACATCAGCCCGAAAATTTGCATATTTATGTTGAAAATTGTGTTAAAGTATTTGTTTTTTTTTTTTGGGTGCGGTCAAACGAACAACATGTTGTATAGAATTTTTGGCCGCCAGCAGCACACACACTCTCAGACTTTTATTTATTAGGCCAAAATTCGCTATGCCATTAAAGAGCTTCGAGTTATGGGCCAACAGGGAGAGCAATGTATTCAATAGGGGAAAAGTCGGAAAAGTCGTAGTCGCAACTAGTGAAAGCGTCGACTTGCAGCCAGTAAGAGCAACTTGGCTAGTTTTCCTTAAGGCTCAAAAGACTTTGGGGCCAAAAGCAGCCTGCAATCATATTTCACCTTAGCTTGGCTCAGAGTTTGCTGCACTTGTCGTGGTTGTTGTTGTTGTTGTTGTTGTTGTCGCTGTGGTGGCTATAAAAATAACTGAACACTTGCCATTGCACACTTGGCCAAGTTTGGCAACTTTTGACGGCTGCTGCGGCAACCAGCGAAGCAAACCAGCTAACAACAAAACGAGTTGTGATGTGGCCGTTGTTATTGTTTGCCTGCTAGTATTTCTAACTATTTTTTTTTTCATGCTGTTGTTGTTGTTGTTGTTTTTGTATCTATGCAAGTCTATCCCCATTGGCAACATTTAATTTCATTCATTGCAGGCAGCGGCAAAACGGCAGCCGCCGAAACTTTACAAACCTTTTGTTGCTGCTGCTAGTTGAAATCCTTGAAAGAACGGGGAGCTTTAACTGTGACTTGGAGGTTGACCTGAGAATATGTATATTTTTTATAATGTACTAAAGGTTTTTTCTCTTCAAAGATGATTTATTATTTGATTTTTGTCTTAAAATTTACACGTTTTTAGCTACACCCACAAACATAAAATGTATCTTAAGCCTGAAATATAGTTTCTCCATTTAAACTAGTTGTAGATTTCTTATTTTCCAGATATATTTCTCTTCTTATAGGGAATTCCCAAGTTCATCAACTCCCAAATAAAATTTTCTGCAATTTTACGATGGTGCGGTTAGCCACGTGATTTTGTCTTTGGGTTTTCTTTTTGGCTTATTTCGTTTTGGTGTTGTCTCCGGCTTGTTTTTGTTGCTGTTGCTTTTTTGGTTGGAGGTTTTCAGCATTTTCCGCTGGGGACTCAAGTCTCTGGAAGTGTTTTATTCATCGTCATTCGCCAGAGCGTCATCGTCGTCGTCGTCTTCGAGCTTCGAGTTTAATGCCATTTTCGTGCCTGGGCTGTTGCTTTGAATAAATGCCCGGTCGTACGTAGTTTTGGCCATTTGCTGCAGTTTTAACTGTTTTAGAAATAGAGAGAGAGAGAGGGTCTGCTTCGGGACGGACAGACAGGTAAAAAGGATGTGGTAATTGCCAGGCGGTAGCCGACGTTACTTAAGCAGGTGTTTACGTCTACGATTTTGTTTGTTTACCTTGTCTGCCATTGCAATTGAACATGCAATAAATAGTTCTTGCAATCTGTCGTTTCCAATCTGCCTTCGATGGAGGCCTTGCCCATATTTTCGCATTTAATTTGAGCAAAAATTGGGCTTGAATTGAGCTCACTGCATTTTTGAGGCATTAATGTAAACAAAGATCTGGTTTGTTTATAAACTTTAAGTCTAGTAATACTCTTTTTTTCACAGGAAATAAAATGTGGTCTTTATTTTTGAATCAAAATAATCAGGCCTGTTCTAGTTTCCACTCGGAAGTGAATTTGATAACATTTGCGGATTTCCCTTTAACATAAGCGAATTTCCCTTGGTGATTTAAGGAAATTTTTTTTAATTTCCCTTAAATTCCCAAACAAAATCAGCTGGTCGCTTTCAACAAAAGAGATTCCCTTGTCTAAGATTTGCTAAAAGGGGCTGGTCAAATTTTGGCCCGCTGTAGTCTCCAACTCATAGATAGTAATGAAGCACTAATTTAAATAATAAAATCTAAGGAATAAGCATTAAGACAGGAAATAAACATTTTGAAATATTTGTAATTGCAATCAGCTGTTCTGGTGGCAAAATGCTCGAAAGTAGAGTTGCCGAGGGTTTAGAAAAAATTCCCTTCGCATAAAATTTAGTTCAGTTTGTGGATTGAATTGGCTGGTATTTTAAAGAAAAACACTTTTTCATATACTTTACCTAATAGCAGATATTTTAATTGTAAAACAACATAAAAAGTAATTGTTCGAAATTAATCTTAAATATATGCCGTTTTTTTTTTGAAACGCTGACAACCCTTAAATGGTCCCTCTCAAATACGACACAGCGGCAGCGGATTTGCAATAATGTTGAAGGTTAGAATCGAACCGATTTTAAGGTGCACCCACAAAATAATTATTTATAAATTAAGTAAGTTAGTATTAGCTAATTCAATTATGCAATAATGTTCCCAAAACTTCAAGGAATATATTACAATTAACATTTGTAATATACATAATCGCATTGTATTTTAAAATAATTAATTTCTTATTTTGCGGATTTGAATCCGCCGGCCAAATGGCACACGGAAAGTTTCCGTGCGTTTCGTCTGCAAATTAACAGAGACTTAACAGAGGGAAATACGAATCCGTAAAAATTGTTCGGAAGTGAACACTAGAACAGGTCAGGGAAATCCGAATCCGAATAAATTTTGCGGAAGTGGAAACTAGAACAGGCCTGAATGTGTTTTCTTATAGTAAGCCAAAAAATTAATACATTTTATTTTATTCAAAATGTAGATTAGCTTAGAAGCAAGAGTATTTCATTGTTCGTCTTACTTTTCATGCAAAATTTGCTTTTATTTCTTTTTTTTTTTTTTTTGCCAATTCCTTTTGTTTTTATGGAACCCACGCGACTCGCTGAGAGCCAGAAAAATCCATCATAAGCCCAGAGACATTTATAAATTGGCTTTCAGTTGTTGTTGCTTTGTTGCTGCCTTCTGTCAGAGTTATTCACGCCGTCCCACATGATTATAATGAAGGCCCCCACCGATATCTTTAATTGGCCTCAACATTGAAATGTCACACGAGTTGGTAGCATAGTAATTATATAGACAATAAATTAAGCTCTTTTCAATTTGAATTCGACCCGGCTAACCATATCACAATTCCCTTTTTCGCTTTCAGGTTAATGCTGCATATATGACAGGCCCACACGACATCGACAGCGACTGAGACAAGTAAGTGTACAATTAAACCCCGCAAAATAGAATATTTATGTAAATTTCTACATATATAATTTTTTTTTGTATTAAATTTTGCTTTTGCAAAAGGAAAACTTTGTCCGGGCCTGACCCCAATTCCAGTTGTAGTAGGGCAAGTAGAGCAGAATGGAGTAAATCCCCACGCCCATTTCAGTTGTGTTTAGTTCCTGTGCAGGCGGCATATATATATGTATATACTCTCTTTTATTTTTAATTTATTTTAATGTGGGTTGCACTGGATGGAAAGCCAGTCGTCCCATGGCGGAAGAGGAAAAGGAGGCGTGAATACCCTGAATACAGGCTGAATACAAAATTATGTCAACGGGATGTGCGTTTCGAAAAGGATTATCCCGCGAGGAAGCTGCTGGAAAATTGAATCGCTCCTGCTCCTTTTTTACTGATGATGTCATTTTCGAAGCCATAAAATTGATTTTGCATTAAAATTCGTTTAGCAAGAAATTTTGCTTGCGCAAGAAAGTGAGCTCGAGGCGGGGAGTCAGCACTTTGAATCAATTAATTCGCTATTTCTGTGTGTACCAGTCGAAGGCGCCTCGCAGATCCTCTACTCTCTCTCTCTGTGTCTCTGCGAAAATGTTTGGCTCTTGGCCCGCAGCATCGTTTGCTGACCCAATTTCGATTGGCTAAGAATAGCGAAAAATGTTTAAACGCACATACGTCGTGTCCGTTCGAATCTCTCTTCTGCCTCGGATTACACTTATATTTAATTCTTCACCGAGTGACAGAACGAGAGGTCTTAAAATTTGATGTATCTACGAGATTGCGAAAGGGATGTGGTATTGCCAGGAGGGTGCCTCAATATTTTCAATACTCAATTACCATAACTTGTGGCGCTGTCAACGCTTCGCCTATAGCCCACTAATTAAACCTAATTTATTTATTCACGTCTGTTGGTGGCAAATAAACTACACAAACGAATTTATAACAATGCCCAAAATCTTTAGTTTGGCTGCCAACCAAAAGTTGCCCGCTAAGATTTATTCTATCAAATCTATTTTAATTGTTTTCCTCTTGTCATCTTGCTGTAATTGTAATTGTGAAACCCAGCCAAGAAAATGGCAGGAAAGGCGCCAGGGGCGTGTCTACTAATTGTCCCACTTGGTGCAAATAATTATATTTTTTGTTACCCTGCCAGCAGTGCAGTGAGTGCCCCTAATCCCACCGCACAGATTCGTCGATGGCGCTTCCGCATATTTGTTTGCCTGTTGTCTCGGCTTGGTGTTCATAAATCAATTTGTTGCAATTCAAACAATTTTTTTGTTACTTAACGTTGTCTGTCGATCAATTGGCATCGCAACCAAAATTAGAAGACAACGGGGCGCAAATCAATCTTGCCTTCTTCTATTTGCATAGTTGGCAAGAGGTGCTAGAACCAGATTTTAAATTGAGATGTTTATTAGTGGAAAATATTCAGTCATTCGGTTTCGTCAACTTCCGAACCCTCTTCACGTTCCGCTGACATATTTCTATCGACAAATGTCACATGAGAATCGAACGAATAAAATACGAAACAAATATTTAAATTACGTGACTTTCATGTACAAGCATAGAGTGGTTTCTTTCTTAGAAAGTGTTCAAAGGGCTTTCTTATCGACGTGTTTCTTAAGACTCTATACACACACCCCAAACCGCTTCCCTTGTTCCTAGATAAAGACACTTGTTCGCTGCGTTCCGCTTGTAGATACAATATCTATAAATCTATAATTAGAGTTACTTGTGTGTATCAACAGTTTGTGACAAGGTTCCCACGTTGTTCTCTGTTGATTCCGTTGCTGGGGGTGGTTGTGTGACTGGGTGGGTGGTTCCTGGCCTTTGTCCACCTGGCTGACTTTCCATTGTATCTTTGTCATCCGTCTTTGTAGACTGCCTTCATATAATTCCCTTAAAAGTGATCCCGATCAGTGGCATCAGCTTCATTAACGATCCAGTGGCTCCTCAACGCGCATCGCTTTGCTCCAAAAAATTGCCTAACAACTTAAACAAACAAATAAACTCTAAATAATTTGTGATATAATCGAAAAAGTCAACAAACGGGCCAATTGCTTTAGGTGAGGCAAGCGAAACCTTAGTGACAAAAGTGAAAGAGTGAAGATTGGAAAGAAATAACAAAATAGCAAAATTTTCAAACAGCGTTAATTATTTTGTTTATGAATGAGACTAAAACAACAATATGCCTGTGTGTGTTTTGAATATTTAATAAACATTTTCTGGCTATTGGCCAAGTTTTCTAGAAAGAGAGAAATTGTAGAAATTTCAACTAAAATGGTTCATTTGTTCTCAAGAACCTTGATCTTGTCCGGCAGCCATGTGCACTTTATAAACCGTAAAGTCGTCTTCCGTTTACGTTTTCATTTCTGAATTTATGAGTAATTGAGCTATATAAATCGTGGGATATTTTCGGGCCACCCTCTAATAGAAGAAAAGCTACACAAAGATGAGTCACTCCTAAACGCCGGGTGGAAAATGAGGAATGCTTTTAATCCACCCTCGCCGGCTTTTGACATACTCTACCCCTGTTCTTTCTCCCTTTTCGTGGGTTAATTTTAATTTCCCTTCCTGCCCCAACAAAGTTCGCATTGCGGGGGAGATAAAGCAGCAGGCAGTCGAAAATCGATAAGCGCTAAACTTTTCATTTCCATGGACTTTAATTTTTGTGTGTTTCATCTTTCTCCCTTGTGGCACTGCCCTTTCCTCGCACAGTGACATAACCAAGTGGTGTGTGCCCAGTGTGACCCACAAGGCTTTTGTTTAACCCGCACAAACAGAGAGGCCGGGAGCTACACTGGTAAAAATCTAAAGTGGGCTACAGATTACGTGTAGTTTATAGTACTTGCTAAGCCTGTTTGCTTTAATCACAATAAGTCAAGTCTCGTCTATAAAGTAAGAAGACAAGTGGAGCTGATTGTTAAATACACAATTGTTTCAATTCAATCACAAATTCTCATCAATATATCTTCCTCTAAAAACAGACTCCTACATTTCCACGGTTATATATGTACATAGTCGTGATTCAGAATTTAGACTTGTGAATTTTAAGGAAACTTTCGACAACAATTTTATCTACTTTTGATTTATTTATCCTTTTTTCTCTCTGTGTATGAAAAAACGACTATCGAGCTGTCGCCAATTGCGTGGCCCATCCAACCACCGCCCCTTTGCTGTCCAAGATGTGGGCGTGTTTGGTATGGGAAGTATTGTGGTATTGTGCGAGGTTTTTTTTTATGACTTTCCTGGCGCCAATCGAATTTTGGCCTGAACTTTAATAGACGATGAGACAACACAAATTGGAACCGAGCCTCTCGTCATTGAGCAAGGGATTTCTTGTGTAGGATGTTGAGGAACTATTTGTTACGGTAATTTCTATGCAAAAAAGGATAACCTTTTGCGTGTGTGGATTCCCTACAAAAAAAAAAAAAGCTGAGCTAGGATTTCTTCTTTCACATTTAAGAATTCTATGACGTAAAGGGAACCTTTATTCCTTTGTTAAATTTGTTTTGAAGATAAGAAAGTGGTTCCATTATGTCTTTAAAACAAATATAAATGGATTCAAACACTTTATAATAGTTCAAGTCCTTTGATATGATGTTTTTCTCGTTTTTGAAGATTTCCTGTTCAAAATGCATAAAACCAAGTTAGCGAAGCAGATGTTGTCTGAACATTCCGAGCTCTCTGAGACTTTCAACTCATGTTAGTGTATTACAAACCTCGGGACTAGCTACATTTCTATACGTATTTTCAACCAAAAAATAAATAGATTTCACCATTTTTGGCGAGCGCCGCAAAGCCGTACAAATTCATTGTTAATTTTTAGCAATACCAAAAGCAAAGATCAAGACCAATCTATAGAGGACACCGAGTCGTAATCCAAGGGCGCCGCACATCATGAATCCTACCAACCTGGGCAAGCAGAACGGTGCACTGGTGATGGAGGTGCTGAAGGTTTTGGGTCGTCCGGCCACCAGTTTTGAGGTGGCCGAGCGAGTGTCTGATGTCTACCGTCTACCACTACAGCCCATCCGTCCCGTAGTGACAGATGTACTTGAGGGCGGGGTACGCCAGGGGCTCTTCAGTTACAGAAACCATCGCTACTCGGTGGTGCAGCCTGTGGTGGATCAACTCCGCCGCGACATTGATAAGTATGCATCCGAGATACTGGCCATGGATACAGGCTCCTCTGAAGGCTCGAGTGAGACGAGCTTGGACGATGCTGCTGGTGGTAGTGGTGGCGGAGGAGCACTGCCCCAGATGTCACCGCTGATGCTGAAGCTGCAGAAACTGGATGGCTCACCGCCCATGCTGGCCGGGGGGAACAGATATCGCCGGACGACCATGGGGGAGCAACAAGAACGTTTGCCCTCCGGGGATGTACCAATAGGCGACAGAGTGGAAGTCGTCATGCTGCCCGTCTCCCCGATATAAAAAATTTCCCATTTTATTATAAATTGTTCCACCGAATGCTAGTGCATCAGAAATTCTGGCGTCCAATAAACCAGGCAAGGGCTCGATGTGTTCACATGGCAGCGAAGTTGGACCTAGACCAGACGAATGTGTTAAGATGATTTCGGGATAGGTAATCTAGGTTTCCTAGGCTTCCAATTGAATCCTGATGGTGCTCCTTCTCTCCAGAAATTGGGGCAATGACTCGTCCTCGTTCTGGTCCTTGTTTCCCTTGAGGCTATTGTCCTTTGCGTGAATGCAGCACATTCACATCCTGAACACGGCTAAACACTCGCACAAAGAGCCCAACAGCTGCGGTGGCAATGTCTTGTGGCTTACTTTTTATTTTCCATTTGCCCCGACACAAATGGCACTCCACTTCAGAGCTCCCACCTTGCCGGTCCCGTTTCCCGGCTGTCCATTGTCAGGTTGTTGCCTGTCTAGGTCTAGGCGGATCCAAACAGAAGTTCAAACTCGAGTGGCAGCGTTTCTTTCGTTTTTCCAGCTCATTTGCCTTCGGCTTTCTGTCTGGCTCACTTGTCAGCACTCAGGGGATATGCCAATTATGGCCAGAAGTTGGCCGAAATAGCTGCGCAGGGTTACCTCGAGTTCAAAAGGGTTTAAATTAATTGGTTATTGACATTTTTATTGCTTTCTACGAGGAGTTTAGGGTATTCAGAGGTAGGATTTCTTCTCGTTTTGCTTTATATGTACATAAATATCAGTGAACCGCATTATGAGTAATTCTTTCTGATTCAGTTAATTGAAGTATAATACTGTGGCCAGATATGAGTTTGAGATTTGATTGCATAAACAACAACAAAAAAGAAAGGAGACAAAATACAAGCAAGAAAAGTAATCGTGATGATGACAAGTTCAGTTTAAAAGCTCTTTGTGTGATGTGTGTTACTCTCAGCTTTCTTGTGAATATTTAAAAAGTAAAACTTGTGCCTTGTTTACATTCACACAAGAATGTATATAAGACAGTCCTTTATGAGTAAACAAAGGGACTGGGACGGGGTTCGTTGACTTAAAAGCAGGAATCCAGTAAGAACTTTTTGTTTTATCCCCACATTTAGGTTAAGAAAGGGTCTTATTTTAATTAGCTAAAAGGTTGAAATTTCCTTTGAATTAATGATTCCAAATTTAAAAAATATTTAAAGAATTTGTTGAGATTTATAAAAGGGTAATGAAGCTTCGTCAGACGTCCGACAAGATTTTCCTTATTAATTCGCTTAATTAATTACAATTCATTTGACGGACGAGACAACGCCAAAGGAAAGCCAACTCAGACAAAGACACTGGCATATATGTAGGTACATATGTATATGTATACCCCAAGAAGACGGGGAAATGTGAATGAAAAATCTGTCAGAATTAATGGAATTCACCGAGCAAAACGAGCAAATCAGCTGCTTATTTGGCTTGTATTTCGTTGTCACACCAAAGCACCCAACTAACTCCATCCTTGCTCTCTCTCCCTCTTGTCTCCTTACAGGATGAGCCGCCAACACCAGCGGCACCACCATCACCTGCCGCCGCAGCAGCAACAGCAGCAGCAGCAGCATGTGCCGCAGCAGCAGCAACAGCTTACGGCGCAGCAACAACTCCTGATGGCGGAGCATGCAGCGGCCGCAGAGGCCGCGGAGCTGTTCGATCTGCTGTGCGTGGCCACTACAATGCGCCAGATCCTGGCCCTGCATCGTTCAATGTGCGAGGCAGTGGGATTGCGGCCGTCGCCCCTTAATGATTTCTATCCCCGGCTGAAGGCCAAGGTGCGCTCGTGGAAGGCTCAGGCGCTGTGGAAGAAGTTCGATGCCCGCGCCGCCCATCGGGTGTATGGAAAGGGAGCCGCCTGCTCTGGTACTCGGGTCCTGGTCATTGGAGCCGGGCCCTGTGGCCTACGCACTGCCATCGAAGCGCAGCTGCTGGGCGCCAAGGTGGTGGTGCTGGAGAAGCGCGACCGGATTACCCGCAACAATGTGCTGCACTTGTGGCCCTTCGTCATCACCGATCTGCGCAACCTGGGTGCCAAGAAGTTCTACGGCAAATTCTGCGCCGGCTCCATCGACCACATCTCCATCCGGCAGCTGCAGTGCATGCTGCTCAAGGTGGCCCTTTTGCTGGGCGTGGAGATCCATGAGGGCGTCAGCTTCGAGCATGCCCTGGAGCCGTCCGGCGACAGTGGCGATGGCTGGCGGGCAGTGGTTACACCCTCGGACCATGCCGTCTCGCACTACGAGTTCGATGTCCTGATCGGGGCGGATGGTAAGCGAAATATGCTGGACTTTAGGCGGAAGGAGTTCCGAGGAAAGTTGGCCATCGCCATCACGGCCAACTTCATCAACAAGAAGACGGAGGCGGAGGCCAAGGTGGAGGAAATCAGCGGGGTGGCTTTCATCTTTAACCAGGCCTTCTTCAAGGAGCTGTACAGCAGGACGGGCATCGATCTGGAGAACATTGTCTACTACAAGGACGAGACGCACTACTTTGTGATGACGGCCAAGAAGCACAGCCTGATCGACAAGGGCGTGATTATCGAGGACATGGCCGATCCCGGTGAGCTCCTGGCCCAGGCCAACGTGGACACCCAGAAGCTGCACGACTATGCCCGCGAGGCGGCCGAATTCTCCACCCAATACCAAATGCCCAACCTGGAGTTCGCGGTTAACCACTACGGCAAGCCGGACGTGGCCATGTTCGACTTCACCTCCATGTTCGCCGCCGAGATGTCCTGCCGCGTGATCGTCCGCAAGGGTGCCCGGCTGCTGCAGTGCCTGGTAGGCGACAGCCTGCTGGAGCCCTTCTGGCCCACCGGATCGGGCTGTGCCCGCGGTTTCCTCTCCAGCATGGACGCGGCCTATGCCATCAAGCTGTGGTCCAACCCGCAGAACAGCACGCTCGGTGTGCTGGCGCAGCGGGAGAGCATCTACCGGCTGCTCAACCAGACCACGCCGGACACCCTGCAGCGGGACATCAGTGCCTACACCGTGGACCCCGCCACGCGCTACCCGAACCTGAATCGGGAGTCGGTCAACAGTTGGCAGGTGAAGCACCTGGTAGACACGGACGATCCGGCCATTCTAGAGGAGACCTTTATGGAAACGCATGCCCTGCAGACGCCGCATGTGGGCACACCGGGCAGGCGCAAGCGACGCAGTGGAGGTTAGTACACTGAGAATAACTAGAAATTACATTATTATGGCTTCTGTTATTTCCTAGATCTTCTGCCGCAGGGCACCTCTCTGCTTAGGTGGATCAGTGCCCAGCTGATGGCCTACCAGTTTGTGCCGGAGCTCAAGGAGCCTTCGGATGTGTTCCGAAACGGACGCGTCCTGTGTGCACTCATCAATCGGTAGGTTATATATTTTTGTAATCTCAAATATCCTTCTTCACCAGCTTCCTTTCGCCTGCCCCAGGTATCGTCCCGATCTCATCGATTTCGCTGCCACCAAGGACATGAGTCCCGTGGAGTGCAACGAGCTGGCCTTTGCCGTCTTAGAGCGCGAACTGCACGTGGATCGCGTTATGAGTGCCAAGCAATCAATGCAGCTGACAGATGTTGACTCACGCAGCTGGCTAAACTATTTGGATCAGATCTGCGAAGTGTTCCGCGGCGAGATCCCGCACGTTAAGCACCCCAAAATGGACTTTAGCGATCTGCGGCAGAAATATCGAATCAACCACACGCACGCCCAGCCAGATTTCTCGAAGCTGCTGGCCACGAAGCCCAAGGCCAAGTCGCCCATGCAGGATGCCGTTGACGTACCAACAACGGTGCAGCGGCGTTCAGTGCTGGAGGAGGAGCGTGCCAAGCGGCAGCGCCGCCACGAGCAGCTCCTAAACAGCGGTGGAGGAGGAGCCGCCACTGGGTTGGCCGCAAGCGGAGCGACGGCGGGCGCCAGCCAGCAACCGGGTGTGTTACGGATAACCATACTAGACCGTAGTGTTACAAATAAATGAATCTCCAAGTGCGATTGCATATTCTTGTTAAATTGGCAATAAAATCTATGCTAAGGTTACTGCTAAAATCATGGGATAGTTTGCTGATGATATGATCTTCATTTATTTTCAAAATATCTGACACCTTAATGTAATGGTATTTGTGTAAGCAAGCCACTTGGAGAGTCAATTATCATTTCAAGAATTCCTGGGAAGAACCCATGTTTATAGATGTTTTCTCTATGCTTTCAGGTCAAGGCGACACACCGCGTCGTTCGAAGAAACGCCGGCAGGTCGACAAAACCGCAAACATAGTGAGTAGATGCTGGCATTATTTAATGTCATGGATAGTTATCTTTTTACCTTGGTAAAAGTATATTTACTAAATGTACAGTCAAAATATTTAATTGTTTTTCACCTAAAACATAATTAATAATGAAATGAAATTCGCCATAAACAAATTCATTAAAAAAAACCAAACCAATCGATAATCTGTTCCCAAGGTTCAGCTCCTGCTGAGAACAGTTCTCTGTCATGAAATCAGTAACGCCATTAGCGCATACGAGTGCATCAACGAGGTCAGTTCGTTCAGTGTCCAAGTCCATGTCCCAGTCCCAGTGTCGTCCTCATGGTCCATTGTGTGATGTAACTCTCGCGACCCCCCACCACCAGTACTAACCCAAGTAGCATCTCCATCATAGCAGTAGCCAAGTAGTTCTTAGTCATTGTACTGTGTCCTCAATCCACACAAATCACAATCGCCCCAAAAACAAGACCAAGAATCCCCCAGAATTCCCCCTCAAAATCTGTCCAAATGTGTGTTCAACTATCCCACTCTGCCGCGCAGGAAGAGCGCCAGCAGCGCTTGCAGGAGATCGAGGAGAATCGGCAGGAGCGGATGAGCAAGCGGCGCCAGCAGCGCTATCACCAGACGCAGAATTTCTACAAGAGCCTGCAGCTCCTGCAGGCGGGCAAACTGCTGCGGGAGGGCGGGGACGGCGAGGGTGTGGCTGAAGATGGCACTCCCTTCGAAGACTATTCGATATTCCTCTACCGCCAGCAGGCCCCAGTCTTCAATGATCGCGTGAAGGACTTGGAGCGGAAGCTTCTGTTTCCCGTAAGCGCTGAGAGCCTTAAGGCTCTTGCTCCTGCACGCCGCGTCTTCTTCAATGTTGTCGTCTTGTTCGGTTCCCTTCGGGGAACTCCTCTAACCCCTGACTAATGCTACTGTTTTGCCCAAAAAAATTTTTCTTTAAAAAAGAAAAATTCAGAAAAGCAACTAACAAACGCTTTGGCTAACAGCTCTGAGGAAAAGTTTCTTTGAACTTGGACTTTAAATTGTTATTAAGCTGTTTGCATGATTTTTAAATAAATAACAGTAAGCTACCAAGAAAATCGAATGATTTATATTCAAGGAATGATCGTAAACTAGGTGTGTCGATTATAATCCATTTGCTTGTACAAATTTTTATAAGAAATTGATTTACTGAAAATCGATTTATATTCAGCTTAAATGTCAAGTTTACTTCCGATATGATATTGAACGCAATATTTTTATCGGAATTTTCCTCTCTTTATTGAGTACTCGATGAACTCACCTATTTTCAATCAAAACTACATATCTGCCAGTTTATAACCCCCTTTAAGGATATTTCACATACGAATAATGTTAAAAAACTAGCTTAGAATTGTGGCAGCTTGAATTAAATATCATAAAAAGACTCTATTTCAGTCACGCAGCTAGTTCTAAATGTAATATCGCTAAGCTAAACTAAGCTCGTTCATCTAACCAGTCCAAAATATGGACATTTTGTTAAGCTTAAGTTCTGTTTTTTTTGCCTTTTGAGTTTATTGTTTCTTGTTTATATTGTTGATCAGTGAAACCTCAAGTAAAATATTTATCCATATCTGTAAATTTTGATTTCTCCAATCCTTTCCACTCCATCACCACCGACTTTTAATTATTAAAATGTCCAAAAAACTCTACACCCGACCGACCACTAAACACACCAACCATCCTTCAACCAAACCAAGGATCGCGAACGCGGCGACATACCCTCAGCCTTGCCGCGAACGGCGGACGAACAGTTCAGTGATCGCATCAAGAACATGGAGCAGCGAATGACGGGCCGCGGTGGCCTTGGCGGTGACAAGAAGCCCAAAGACCTAATGCGGGCTATCGGCAAGATCGACTCCAGCGACTGGAATGTGCGCGAGATCGAAAAGAAGATCGAACTGTCTAAGAAGACCGAGATCCATGGGCCAAAAGGGCGCGAGAAGGTGCCCAAGTGGAGCAAGGAGCAGTTTCAGGCGCGCCAGCACAAGATGTCCAAGCCGCAGCGTCAGGACTCGCGCGAGGCGGAGAAATTCAAGGACATTGACCAGACCATCCGCAACCTGGACAAGCAGCTGAAGGAGGGCCACAATCTCGATGTGGGCGAGCGAGGCCGCAACAAAGTGGCCTCCATTGCCGGTCAGTTTGGCAAGAAGGACGAGGCTAACTCGGACGAGAAGAATGCGGGCAGCAGCAATGCCACCACAACCAATACCACCACCAACAACAATACAGTCATCCCCAAATCTGTGAGTAGTTTTGTGTTCCCTGGTTTGTTCTGTTCTGTTTTGGATTCCCCCCGGTTTATTCCCATTAGATTTTTTGCTTTACGTTTTTATTTTACTTCTTTTGTTATTACTTTTGTGGTTGCTTCCTGTGGTTGCTGTGTCCCTGCTGCAGTTGCTCAGTGGCCCAGCCGCTGTTGATGTTGTTAGTGTGCTTTGAGCATAGGTCTTAGGCAATTCCCATACATCAAACACGCATACATCTCACCCATTGATCCATCGCATTGCAAAGCCAACGTTAACTTTATTTGTTAAGGATCTCCAGCATCACCCATCTAACACATGCTATCCAATATATACAGAGTTCCAAGGTGGCCCTGGCCTTCAAGAAGCAGGCCGCCTCCGAGAAGTGCCGCTTCTGCAAGCAAACTGTCTACCTGATGGAGAAGACCACCGTGGAGGGTCTGGTCCTGCATCGTAATTGCCTTAAGTGCCACCACTGCCACACCAATTTGCGCCTGGGCGGCTATGCCTTCGATCGGGACGATCCCCAGGGCCGGTTCTACTGCACCCAGCACTTCCGGCTGCCGCCCAAACCGCTGCCACAGCGCACCAACAAGGCCAGGGTGAGCATAGATAGATTCCATGATAATGCCTCGATCAGGTCTAATTTTTCTTGGATTTCTACAGAAATCCGCTGCCGCTCAGGCTGCCACATCCGCCGTCACACCCGCAGCTCCAGGAACTCCAATTGCTGCCGCTGCCGCGCCTACTGAACCCATGGACACCACACCGGCCAGGGATCAGGTGGATCTGCTGGAAACATCACGGGCCAATGCCTCTGCGGACGCCATGTCCGACGACGAGGCCAATGTCATTGATGAGCACGAGTGGTCGGATCGCAACTTCCTGCCGGAGTCGATCAACGACTCGCAATCGGAGCTGTCCAGCTCCGACGAGTCGGACACGGAGTCGGACTCGGAGTTCGAGGAGGCGGATGATTCGCCCTTTGGCGCCCAGACCCTGCAACTGGCCTCGGAGTGGATAGGCAAGCAATACTGCGGAGACAGCGATGTCTCCGATGACTTTTACGACTCAAGCGAAGGTATTGCGGGTGAGTGGGAGCTCAGCAAGGGGTGGCTCTCGGAGGGTTTTCGCTAAGTTAATGATACTATATCCTTTATAGATGACGGCAAAGACGATACGGAGGGTGAGGAGTTTAAGAAGGCCCGCGAATTGCGGCGCGAGGAGGTTCGACTGCAGCCGCTGCCCGCCAATCTTCCCACGGACACGGAGACCGAGGTGGGTCACATTTAAACTTATTTGTCCTTTTGGTGACGGGGAGACTAACCACCTTCTCATTATTCTCATTTATTCTCCATGATTTGACTCTCTTACCAAAATATTCTCATGTATAATCCTCCTTCCCTTGACGGTGTTGGTTTCACCATTGTCCCCCTTTCAATAAGTAGAAGCTTAAGTTAAACATCGTAGACAATAAGGAGAATGTGGCCGCCGATAGGCGCTCCCTCGAGTCAGCCAACTCCTTCGAGTCCGCTCGCAGTCAGCCGGCCACGCCCCTGAACACGCCCACTCGCGTGGAGATGGAGCAGCTGGAGCGGAATGCTCCGCGCAAGTTCAGCAGCGAGATCGAGGCCATCAGTGAGAAGCTGTACCACATGAACAACATGGTGAAGATGAACAAGGACCTGGAGGTGCTGGCCAAGGAGAATCTGGTCAAGAGCGATATCCTGCGCAAGCTCACGCTCAAGGAGAAGTGGCTGGCCGAGAATGCGGCTATAGCGGCAGGCCAGAAGGTGCCAGTCCCAGCTCCTACATCTTTGGCAGTTGCTTCTTCCCCTGCTCCAACTCAACCCAAGTCCAAGTTCGATGAAAAGTACGAAAAGGTGGTAAGTCCACCATTGAATGTAGTCGAGCCCAAGCCCAAGCCTGTCATAGATTTCAACCTGGATGAGCTGAAGCCTCGTAAGCCCAATTTTGAGGAGCGGCCTAAGGAGCAGCTTCCCAGACCAGCGGGCTTGAAGAAGCCACCTCCAGCGAATCCCAAGGCAGGAGGCAGCACTAATGTGAGTCGGTCGAATAGCCTGAAGAGCAACGCCAGCTCGGGAAGTCCGAAGGTGAAGAAAGCAGCTCCCAATGCCAGTGACAAGAAGATGCAGATTGAAGGAATCCTCAGCACGATCAAGAAGATTCAGCGGCAACACAGCAGCGATCTGGATGAGGATATGGATATGGATGTTGATGTAGAAGCGGAAGCGGATAATAAACAGCTCAGCACCAAACTGAAGGAAATCCAAGCCAGCAGCTTTGCCGGCACCATGGATCACATCAAGTCGCAGCTGACCATGCCCACAGTGAGTGCCCAAGCAGCACCCACCGTGGATCTGTCCAAATACTTTCCCAACCAGAAGGTCGAGAAGAGTTCCACCGGCAACACGAACAAGAACCAAAAGACCCTCAAAGATGTGGACCTGGCCAAGTACTTTCCCAGCAGCCCGGCTCCCCAGCGAAGGACTGTGGAGACGGTGGCCGAGCGACTGAAGAAGTCGCAGACTGAAGCCTCTCTGGCAAAAGCAAAAGGTCAGGAAGACAAGGCAAAGACGCCAACTGGTAATGCCAAGAATCCAGAGGAGGAAAAAGGAGTTCCATCCCCGAAGGAAGCTGTAAAAGTAGGAGCTAGTGCCACCAAGCCAGTGCCACCTAAACGACAGGCCTCTCTGGATACCTTTAGCCTGCGGGAGCATCAGATGGATGGAGCGCTTGACTTGACGAAAAAGAAGACTCCCGCCAAGACAACAACGGTAATCAAGAAACCCGCCAAGTCGGGAAGTGCCACAAGCCTGACGAAGGCAACCGCCACCTCAAAGGGGAAGACCATCAAGATTGTAAAGAAGATTGTGCCCAAGGGAACAAAGGCCAAGAAAGCAGCAGCTGCTGCGGCCCAGGAAACAGCAGCAGCAGCAACTGCTGTCCCAGAGAAGGAGCCACCAAAAGATGAAGCCGAACGGATCTTGGATGAAATCCTAGGAGATGGGGAAACGCGCTCCCCCAGTTCCGAGTATCAGCGTTTATTCGGTGATGAAAAGTCACCCAGCGATCTGTCCGACAACATTGATCGCATTCTCGAGGAGACGGGCTTGGATCTCGAACTGGGACTCCCCAAACGCAGTAGCAAGAAGCTGGTGAAGACCAAGTCCCTGGGCGAAGGCGAGTTCGATTTGCAGCCCTCGAAGGAACGACTGACCGGGGTTCAGAATATCCTCAAGCGATTCGAGTCGATGAGCTCCGTGCACTCGCAGAATTCACAGAACAGCGATGAGCAGGCGGCGTTTAAGTTGCGCCGCATGGAGTCCACCACCAGCAATTTAAGCAGCCTCACCCGTTCCAGGGAGTCGCTGGTCTCTGCCAGCGATTCGATGAGTGATTTGGAGAAGACTATGGACTACCTGCGAAACGAATGGCGCAACGAGGCCACCAACTTTCTGCAGAAGAAGCGTGACAAGTTTTACGCCAAGAAGGAGGAGCAGCAGAAGAAGGTGGAACAGCCTAGGCCGGATCCTATGAGGGATCTGCCAGTGCAGTATCGCGACTCCAAGCTGGCCAAGTTCTTTGGCCTGGGCTCACGTAAATCTCCCGAGAAACGAAAGTCTCCCATCAAGAAAAAGAAGTCACCCTCCAAAACCCAAAAGGTGGCCAAGACAAACAACTCGCTGGAGGAACTGGCCAATATCAGCAATGCTCGACAGGCAAAGCAGGCCCAAAAGAAGGTGCCCAAAGTCGTTCAGCCTAAGCCCCTGAAGCCAGCCACTCCTGTTCCCGATGACTTTGAGATTCTTGATCTGCTGGAAAAGGGCACAGAGGCCAAGCTGGAGCTGGAACGCTCCAAGACCAAGAGTCCGGCTGTCGAGCAGCCCGTTAAAGACATGCCCAAAGAAGCTATAGCAGAGGTTCCTCTACCCGTGGAAGATATTAAGAATCTACCCAAGACTGGGTGTGACAAGTCCTTGAACAGCTCACGCCGTGGCTCTCAGTCCAGCTTGGTTATGTCGCGCCGTCCCTCGGAGATTTCTTTGAACGAGAAACTCAACCAGGATGCGCTGATTGCATTGAGCAATCTGGAAAAGGAACGGGAAGCTGAGCAAGTAGACGAACTGTTCCAGAACATGGTGGAAGAAATGGAGGAGGCGCAGGCGCAAGAACCGCAGCCCAGCGCCTTAGAAGATGACATCGATGCGGATTCTCTGTGCACAACCATCAGCAAGAGTCCCAGTGCCCAGCCCGTCACGGTGGTCAAGCGCGGCAGCTCCGAGGATCAGAGCATTGAGAAGCTCTTCGGTCACTTTTCCGACGAGATGTTGGTGAATGTGGAATTCGATTCCAACGATGAGTTAGTAGGCATCACACCACGGGCTACCCTAGTTTCCAGGGACTCTGCGGATCGGGATTATCTGGATAAGCTGGAGTCCCTGGAACGCGACGAGGACACTTTCCAGCCCGTTGTTGGAGACAAATTCCAGCAGGAGTATGGCCAGGATGAGGTGGACAGCCTGCACTTTCCATCGCGCCCACAGCGAAGACCCAAAAGCAGCTCCTCATCCAGTGAGCCGTCGTTGCCGGTGGTTCCGCAAAGGCTAAAAAAGAAGCTGGCAAAACTCGACCCGGAAGATATGGCTCCCTCGGTGCAGGATCTCCTCCAGCAGGTTTACGCAAAGAATTCAGAGTCTCCAGCTGTGGAAGTGATTCCTGTTGAAGGCGCACGCACTCTGCGGTTCCCTAGTATGTCGGTGGAGGAATATGTCGATGAAGTCGATAACCCAAGGGATCACGTTGTCCTGGAGAATGGTACACCGCCAAAAGAAGTCGCAGAACCAACTGAGACTCAAGAGAAAGAGAATCCAGTGGAGGAAGCTCATCAGGCAGTGATGCAAACTTCCAACCAATCGCCAGTTAGCCAGAATAACTTCCTTAAGAGCGAGAACTCCTCCGAAAGCAGCCTGGTGGAGGTGCCTAAAATAATCACCCCGCCCAAGGTACGCAGCAAGGAGAACTCCGCGGATTGGGACATGGAGAAGCTGCCAGCTTCCCCCATGCCGCGTCGAAGGCTGCTCCAAGGCCAGACACCTTCCCAGACCCAGAGTCTGGCCAGCAAGGAGAGCTCCCTGGAATGGGACATGGAGAAGCTGCCCAGCAGCCCCATGCCACCGAGGAGGAACAATCGTATGCGGCCCGTCTCCCCCAGCAACAATTCTGTGCAGCTCCTCAACAATCTCCCCTCGGACGGTGACGATGAGGCAGCCCAGCGGCGCCTCATCGAAGACTTCGAGCGGGAGCGACGCCAGGCGCTGATCAAGCGCGACGAGAACTTCGAGGCCACGGCAGCGGAGCAGCGCCGACGGGACTCTCTGCAGAGCAGCAGCAACTCGAGCAGCAAGCGCAGCCTGCCCCCGCCCACGCCGCCCTCAAAGATGGGCTCCCGTCGCGGCACCACCCAGGACACGAATCGCACTCAAGAGACGAGCACACGGCACGAGGGCACGCCGCCCATGTTCAAAAAGCTGGACGTCGACGGCACTGCCACTCCCATGGACTCCACCACCTGCTCCACGCGGCGCAGCTCGTTTGCATTTATAGAGTTACAGGACAACAAGCCGGTCATTGTGCCCATGCCCAAGAAGCTGAAGCTGCCGAAGCCGGATCAGCCCAGGTTTGTTCCCGAGCCGGTGGCCGTTGATGAGCCCGTGCCGGAGGTGTTCCAGGGTCGCTCTTGGCCCAAGGCCCAGCTGGAAGGTGTTGAGGGTGATCTCGAGGATCTAGATGAGGAGGAGCAGGCGGAGAAGCTGAAGCAACAGCTTCCGGAGTATGCCCGCTCCGATGGCCCACCTTCAGCTGCCTTCAAGAACCGAAAGTGGCCAGACGGCAAGACCGTTTTCGACCAACGAGCTGAATCCCTGGAAGAGGAGGATGTCCTCAGCGGCCTCCTAGGCGCCAAGAGACGAGGTTCCCAAAGGTTCAGGGACAAGCCGCGCTCCCAGTCGCCGCAGCCCTTCAAGCCGCTGGCCAACAGCTCCCGGCAGAGCTCCAAGTCGTTCAGTGACCTCAAAAAGGGACCGTCCCTGCAGTCCCTGTCGGCGCAGTCCAGTCAGGATACGGACACACTCTCCACCACCACCACAGTGGCCACAGCTCGTCCCTTGAGCTATAGCGGCTTCGAAGACCCGATGGATGCCAGCACCCAAGCCCTGCTGGATCGCAGCAAGCGGCTGCACAACCGCAAGCGGGACTTTGTCAACGAGCGGGTGGTGGAGCGGAATCCCTACATGAGGGAGGTCCTCCGCAGCACGGATCGCCGGGACTACGATGACGTGGACGAAGACTTGACGAGCTACCGCCCGCGCCACTACACCAGCTCCACGCTCAACCGTTTTCCCAGCACCTCGACAAGGACAAAGAGCAGCAGCGCCTACGACTACCTGAGTCCCAGCAGCGGTAGCGATTACCTTTCCCGGAGGCCCTACATCAGCAGCAGCAGCCACATCCCGAGCACCAGCGCCGCCAGCAGCAGCTATTATCCGTCGAGTGCGCGCAGCTCCCACCTGAGCGATCTGTTCCGGCGACGCAGTCCCGCCGGCGGATCCGGTTACGGCAGCAAAGAGTCGTGCGTTATCTCCTAGTTGTTAGCCCTGAACCATTGACCAAAGCAGCCTTCTCTTTTCATTTATATTTACCCCCGTTGTGGCCACAGACGACGCCTCAACTACTTTCTCTACTGAGAGGCAACCCAGCGTCAGCGAAACCAACCCCAGACCATGACCCAGACCCCACCCCGATCTCGACCCTTACCAGACACTATAGGTCCACCCACAAAACCGACCAATGAACCAACCAAGCTAGTTCGCCCGCCCGCCTGTCTGCTCTCGATGTGCCACCGCCTAGTCAAGTCCAAGTCCTCCAACCAGCCAGGGCTAGCCTCTGATCGCGTTAGCCAATTGATTGAAAAGTAAATGCACCTGGGTACGATCTACGAAGGTAAATTCAAGCAAAGCCACACACGAAATGTTGCGCTAACCCCGAACTCAAGCAGCCCAAAAACAAATCGAATAAAATCAAAATAAAATATATAAAACAAAAGCCGACAGTTTGTAGTCTCTAAAAACCTCTAAAGTGTTGTGTCGTTGTTCTGTTGCCGTGGTCTAACCCCCCGCCACCTCAGCTAATCCCGGCCAGCGTTCGTTCGTTCGTTCTTCGTTCTGTCCTTCAGCGTTCCTTTCGTTTCCCTTCTGGATCGTACCTAAAAGGCATGAAGCGCTGCGCTCTCTATCTCTTGTTGCTGATGCTAACCTAACCCACTTACTCCGACTAATGAGCATGCTGCGAGCCAAGCCGAAGGCGCCTGCTGTACATTAATAAAGCGCCTCCAGCGAGGGTGTCATCTGAAGGATGTTCACTGCTTTCCCGCTGCTCTCTTTGCTTCTGTTTTACGTTTGTTTATTTTCCTGTTTTCCCTGTTTTAACGCCCTCTAATCTAGCGATGTCTTTTTTTGATCCTCCTCCTCTTCCAGGTCCAGACCGAGTCCGAGACCAGTTCACCAGACGAGGTTGAACTCAACTCTGCCACTGAGATATCCACCGATTCCGAGTTCGACAACGATGAGATCATACGCCAGGCGCCCAAAATCTTCATCGATGACACCCATCTAAGAAAGCCCACAAAAGTACAGGTGAGAATCATTTATATCTCTCAATGATAGGACTCTAAGGAATGTCCTTTTTCTTAGATCAAGTCCACCATGATAGGACCTAATGCTGCTGCCGCCGCCGCTGCTGGACTCCACCAAAAGCAGGTAGCGGCGCGGGAGAAGGGTGGCAGCTACTTGCCCAAGTACCAGCCCCAACCTCCTCTGCCGCAGTTCAAGCCACTGGTACAGGTGGATCCAACCCTGCTGATTAGCAGCCAGCGTGCTCCTCTACAGAATCCACGTCCTGGCGACTACCTGCTCAACAAGACGGCCAGCACCGAGGGCATTGCTTCCAAGAAGAGCCTGGAGCTGAAGAAGCGCTATCTGCTGGGGGAGCCGGCCAATGGCAACAAGATCCAGAAGTCGGGCTCCACATCGGTGCTGGACTCGCGTATCCGCAGCTTCCAGTCGAACATCTCGGAGTGCCAGAAGCTGCTCAATCCCAGCAGCGATATCAGCGCCGGTATGCGAACGTTCCTGGATCGGACGAAGCTGGGCGAGGGCAGCAGTCAGTCCAACGAGTTGATGCGTTCCGCCACCAGCAATGTAATCAACGACTTGCGCGTCGAGCTGCGGATACAGAAAGCGCCCTCCAGCCACTCCACGGACAACGAGAAGGAGAACGTGTTCGTGAACTGCAAGAACGAGCTGAACAAGGGAATGGAGTACACGGATGCGGTGAATGCCACGCTGCTGGACCAGCTGGCCCGAAAGAGTTCGCCCACCACGCAGGCGGCCAACAAGACGGTGATTGAAGTGATTGACCTGGTGACGCCCGAGAAGCCGGTGCCCATTATTGATCTCACTGGGAATGACACGCCCAAGAAGCAGCTGGAGGCGGATGACAGCAACAAGATCAGCGAACTGCAGAAGGAGGTAAAGGAGGAGCCCAAGCCAGATGTCTCGCGGGATGTGAAGGAGTGCATTCCGGACATACTGGGACACATTAAGGAGACGCCGCAGCAGGGAGGTGGGGAAGAGCAGCAGAGTCTGCTGTGCCAGTCGGACGAAGAGAAGCGCGACTCGCCGGAGAAGGAGATGGCTGAGCAGGAGCCGAGCTATGAACCAGACAGCGTGCAGATCCAGGTGCCCAACATACCCTGGGACAAGAGCAAGCCGGAGGTCATGTCCACAACTGGCAGCAGTGGCTCCATCTGTTCCAGCTCCGACTCGTCAAGCATCGAGGATATCCAGCACTATATCCTGGAGTCAACGACCAGTCCGGACACCCAGACAACGGCGGGCGGCAAGCACAATGTGCCGCGTCTGGAGGTGCACGACACGAGCGGTGCCCTGATGCAGGTGGACAGCCTGATGATTGTGAACGGAAAGTACATTGGCGACCCCGAGGATGTCAAGTTCCTGGATATGCCTGCCGATGTCATCGTTCCGTCAACTCCGGCGCTAAAGACTAGCGAGCTGGAGCCGGAGGATGACCACGAAACGGAGGAGGTGGAGCCAGTGACGGCTACACCCGAGCCCGCCGAGTGCACTGTCATCGAGGCGGAACGTCAGCCGCCTCCTCTGCCGGATATGGGACCACCGACCCTGAAGTTCGATACCAAGAACGAGAACAAGATCGAGAGTCTGAAGAACCTGCCGCTGATCGTGGAGAGCAGCGAGAATCACAGTCAGGCGGTGAAGCCTATTACTTTGAATTTGAGCAGCTTGGCCAGGACGCCGGATACGCCGACCACGCCCACGGCGCATGATAGCGACAAAACGCCCACCGGGGAGGTCTTCTCCCGGGGTTCTGACTCTGAAACGGAGCCCACCGGCACGGGCACAGGTCAGGTGCTGACGGAAACGGAGTTATCGGACTGGACAGCGGACGACTGCATCTCGGAGAACTTTGTGGACATGGAGTTCGTGCTAAACTCCAACAAGGGCACAATGAAGCGTCGCAAGGAACGGCGGCGCACTGGAGGAAGCAAGCTGCCCAGTGGCAATGAGGTCATCCACGAGTTGGCCCGACAGGCGCCAGTGGTGGAAATGGACGGGATCCTCAGTGCCATTGACATTGATGACATTGAGTTCATGGACACTGGTTCGGAGGGTTCCTGTGCGGAGGCCTATTCCGCGACCAACACGGCTCTTCTCCAGAACAGGGGCTACATGGAGTACATAGAAGCTGAGCCGAAAAAGCCAACTCCTAGAGCAGCGCCACCCTCTAGCTACCTGCCGCCCCTGGTGACCAAGCGGGATGAAAAGCTGGGCGTGGATTACATCGAGCAGGGAGCGTACATCATGCAGGACGATGCCAAGACGCCGGTGAACGAAGTGGCCCCCGCCATGACCCAATCTCTGACAGATTCCAGCACGCTGAACGAGCTGGATGACGACAGCATGGCAGGCCTGGGTCTGTCCCAGACACAGCCAACCACTACCGAGGAAAGCGAGGCGCTGACAGTGGTCACCAGTCCGTTGGATACCTCCTCGCCGCGGGTCCTGGACCAATTCGCCTCGATGCTGGCAGCCGGCAAGGGAGATTCCACGCCGAGCAGCTCGGAACAGCAACCAAAGACCTCCACGGTCAGCAGCAGCAGCGGGCCCAACTCCTCTACGCCGGGCAACGCCTCCAAGGAGACCGTTCCGCCAGAAGAGGATCTGCAGATCCAGTTCGAGTATGTCCGAGCCCTGCAGCAGCGCATCTCGCAGATCAGCACCCAGCGGCGGAAGAGCTCCAAGGGGGAGCCACCGAATCTAACTGTGATAGAACCCGTCGAGGATCAGCCAAAGGCAGCGGAGGCTGCGGAGCCCATGCCCTCGATGCGGCCGCGCAGCAGTAGCAGCTCCAGCAAGGTACCTGAGATCCCAACGCTCAGCAGCAAGCTGGAGGAGATCACCAAAGAGCGCACCAAGCAGAAGGATCTCATCCACGACCTGGTCATGGACAAGCTGCAGTCGAAGAAGCAGTTGAATGCCGAGAAGCGTCTACACAGGAGTCGTCAGCGCAGTCTGCTTACCAGTGGCTATGCCAGCGGCGCCAGCCTGAGTCCCACGCCCAAGCTGGCGGCTGCCTCCAGTCCGCAGGACTCCAACTGCTCCAGCCAGGCGCACTATCACGCCTCCACCGCGGAGGAGCGACCACCGAAGCCAGTGGATGAGAGGCCGCTGCAAAAGTCCGCCACGTCTACGTACGTGTCCCCCTATCGCACTGTCCAGGGGGCCATTCGGAGTGCGGATCGCTACAAGCCGCGTCCCTTTAGCGAGCACATCGATGCCAACGCATTGGAGGGCTACAAGCTGGGCAAGACGGCCTCCTTTAATGGCGGCAAGCTTGGTGAATTTGCCACGCCCAATGCCCCAGCGCGAGGAGTTCGAACTGGAGGTGCAGGAGCAGCAACAGCGGATATTTCAAATATATCCGCCTCGACGGAGAACTTAAGGAGCGAGGCCAGGGCCAGGGCTCGCCTCAAGTCCAACACAGAGCTGGGACTCAGTCCCGAGGAGAAGATGCAGCTATTGCGCTCGCGCCTCCACTACGACCAGGCCAGATCCCTGAAGCCAAAGCAAATGGAGGAGCTACCTTCTGGCGATCTGGCGGCCCGTGCCCGCAAAATGAGTGCCTCGAAGAGTGTCAACGATCTGGCTTACATGGTGGTGGGTCTGCAGAACCAGCAGCAGCAGCAGCAACTAGAACAGGATGTGGTGCTTCATGCCAAGGCGGCGGATTTCACATCCGATCCCAATATAGCGGCTGGCGGCGAGAAGGCCACCAAAACCAAGTCCGGGCGGAGGCCCAAGGATCCAGAGCGGCGGAAGAGTCTCATTCAGTCGTTGTCCAGCTTCTTCCAGAAGGGTTCATCATCGGCCAGTGCCAAGGAGCAGGGATCAGTCGGAGCTGGCGGCCACTCTGAGCAGTTAGAGCGACCTGGAACCAGCAGCAGCAGCAGTGCCGGCACGCCCACAATCTCGGATGCGGTAGCCGCTGGAGGAGGAGGAGGAGGCGGCGGCGTCTTCAGTCGATTCCGCATCTCGCCCAAGTCCAAGGAGAAGTCCAAGGTTAGTGTTTTGTTTGCTCAAGGTATCGTGGTGTATCTATAATGTGGTTCTGGTATCCAAGTGTGTTGTCTGCTCTTAAAGAGTCTGGCTATCGTATCACCCGGCGCCCTCATCTAGCCTTAAGTTATATTGTTAACCAAGACTCCTCGGTGTCTGGTGTTCTACGTAATACAAGTGTTGTCTCATTTATAACATTTACCAACTTCTCTCCATCACTTTGCAGTCTTGCTTTGATCTGAGGAGTTTCGGTTTTGGTGTAAGAAATATTTTAACTATATAATAAACCCCATGAGCAAAGGCCTTATAAAAACAAGAAAAGTAACGCCATACAATTTTTGTGCTCTTGATTTTTACGCTCTCAACTTTAATCTAGCGGGAAAGGTGTTATTCATCTTGTTATTATAATATCTTTGATATTTACCCCCACTTTCTTCACAAAAAACGCTTAGTTTTTTAATTTTTTTGGCTTGCAAATCATAAAAAATATCCTAATCGCACATCTCTCCATCTAATTGGGCTCTGTACTTGTCTGTCTTGCTACCTGTTATTAACTATCAATTTTTTTATAAATTGTTTTATATTTTAATTTGTTTTCATTTATTTTACTTTCATTTTCTTTTACCCCGATTTCAGCTAAAGTTATTTAAGTCTTAACTCTTAAGTTTTGCCTGCTGTATTATTTTTTATTTTCCCCTCTTGACCTTTTCCAAATAACCTTTATGTTTACTTGACTCTATGTGTACCTTATAAGGGGTGTTTTTATAGTTTTTTAAGTATTTTTTAAATTGGTTTAAGATACTTTTGACTCATTGAACGCATATATTTATTTATTGTTGGGAGACGCGTTGTGTTATTTTTGTAAGTTTTAAGCTGGATACTTTTGCATGGTTGGAACTGGAACAGGTGGTTATGGTTTGCCTCTTGGACCCACTCTGCACGTTAAATGTATATACTTTTGCCAGTAAATAACATTTTGATTTTAGTAAGACAAGACTGAAAGCTGTTACCCTTTCGATCACACAAAAACACACAATAATTTAACCAAACTATATATATTCTGATACCTCTAAAAACACATTGCAATACCGACCATCATCAGGACAAGGATAACATGCTAGTCTGCCAAGCCACGGCGGCGACGGCGGGAGATTATCTGAACAACAGTAACAACAGTCGCTATCGAAAGCAAACGAACAACACTGCGAACAAACCGAAACCCGAATCGTTCTCATCGTCCAGTCCGCAGCTCTACATACACAAGCCCCACCAACACCACCACCACCACCACCTGGCCACAGCGATTCCAAGGGCCTTGGACGACCAGACACCGCCGCCCATACCGCCTCTGCCACTGAATTATCAGAGATCCGATGGTTTGTTCTCATTCTATATGTGTCCCCCCAGAAACCTCTCCTGACTCATTTTTTGTCACCTTCCTGTGTATTTGTGGATTTTGATCCGAATTATCCCATTCCAGATGAGAGTTACGCTAACGAGACACGAGAGCATAAGAAGCAACGTGCCATATCGAAGGCTTCGCGACAAGCTGAGCTCAAGCGACTGCGAATCGCTCAAGAAATACAGCGCGAACAGGAGGAGATTGAGGTGCAGCTGAAGGAACTGGAGGGACGCGGCGTTCACATTGAGAAGGCCCTGCGGGGCGAGGGGCAGAACCTGGAAAAGTGGGTTTCTTTTTAATCATAAAATACAAGAATTACTAAAATTAAATTAAAAAATACTAAAAAACTAACTCTCTTTTCCAGCCTGGACTCGAGCAAGGATAACGATGAGAAGCTACTAAAGGAACTATTGGAGATTTGGCGCAACATCACAGCACTCAAGTAAGTCAAGTCTACAAAGAAGTACCCCGAAAGAAGACTAAGACCATGGTTTTTGTGCCTAGGAAACGCGATGAGGAACTGACTATAAGACAACAGGAACTGCAATTGGAGTATCGGCATGCCCAGCTCAAGGAAGAGCTCAATTTGCGCTTGTCCTGCAACAGTGAGTTTTTTGGCTCGTAAAATGGAGATCTTTAATTAATTTTAATATATTTTCCCACAGAACTGGACAAGAGTTCCGCCGATGTGGCCGCCGAGGGTGCAATACTTAATGAAATGCTAGAGATTGTGGCCAAGCGAGCGGCCCTGCGACCAACCGCCTCCCAACTAGACCTCACAGGGGCGGGCATTTCCAGCGAGGCAGCGACGGGCATTAAGCTGGTTGGCCAACCGCTTGACCACGATGAGTCCAATGTGAGCCGAGTCTTTACAATTTTCACATCCTAAATTAATAAATTTAATTTCTCCTTTAGATTTGAATAGCAATCTGGGGTCGTCTGCTGGTCCATGAAGTTGTGCGAGGACTGCTAAGCCTAAATACTTAAGAACGTACCAAAAACAGCAAGCTGAATTATGAAAACAACAATACTGAAACTAGAACCCATGAGCTGTAACCGAAACGAGCAAATAACTATTCAGAGTGATTAAGCGATGAGACGAGGAGAACAACTCGAACAATATATATTTAAGTAGTGATCAGGTGATCATCAAGGTTAATAGTGTAAAGGCAGAGAGAGGAAATCAAAACCAAAAACTAATTTTGCAATTCGAAAGTAATGCCCTTAGTTCTGTATTCTCAAGCTAATTGTATGTTTAGTTAGTTAGACGTTGCCACTGAATTCTGTCTGAACTGTGTATGTTGTGTTTTTCTGTTTTCTATTTTCTATTTTTTTTATAAATGTAATGCGTTGATTTTTGATTGTGTAAAGTGAAAGATGTTTGTGTGGTCTCCAGTTTTAGGTACACAATTGTTTATCGATTTCTTTGTATACCGCTTGAATGTATTATTATTTATTTGATGAATGCAATGTAATGTAATATGTCATTTGCTGCCCAAACCAAAATCAAAGTGAACACAAAGAGATGCACACAAATACATACATACATATTTTCTATATGCCAGAGAGCGTACATAGCGATGTAGAGGAGCAAACACTTGCTCTGGGTACTAATGAGAACGATTTAAATTATTGCGTAATTTAATTTATAACCTCTGCATATATAAACATATTTATCGAATTTATTATGTAACTTTTCGATTTATTTTAAATTGAATAAAGATTTTATGAAACCTACCGCCCGAAGTTTTTTACTATTTAATAGTTGCTTATCAAGGCAGAAAGGTAAAAATTTTAAATAAAACCTAGCAGGGAATTATAATTATAATTATTCTATATATTTTTAGAAAAAAAATTATAACTTTGCTGTTTTTAAACATTTTTGTACAATTTTTTGTACAATTTTTTAGATAGTTATAATTTTTTTTCTAAAAATATATAGAATAATTATAATTATAATAATGGCCATTCTATATTATTTCAGAATTTTGGTAAAAATTTTATGAAAATCGGACGACTATATGATATAGCTGCCATAGGAACGATCGAGAAATAAATAGGAAAACAAGAAAGGAAGCTAACTTCGACACGCCGAAGTTCGTATACCCTTGCAGACTGCAATTGGATCACTAAGAATCGAGCCATTCTGGTTAAATAATTAAAAATAAAAAATAAAAGAAAATATATAAAAGTTGTATATTTATTCATAACATTAATAAAATGCTGAAAACACACACAAAACAGTTTGACAGTTATAGGGTCTTCCCACACAACGTTAAAGCGCATTCAACATCCGTTGAACAAACGGTCCATTTTGTTCCAATACGGCAAAATAGCTGGATGAGCATCACTGGCAGTTAGAGAGTTGCCATTTTGTCCCAGTAATGCAAAATAGCTAGTTGAGCATCACTGGCAGTTAGAGAGATGCATTTTGTCCCAATAGAGCATCACTGATGCAGATGAGCATCACTGATGCAAGTGAGCAAAACTTTTCATTCAAATTGGCCGCGTTCCAAACTGGGGTAACAGGCGGACAGAAATCAACAGCAAGCAACTGAAAACTGGTATAAACTGTTATAAAAACTTTTGGGCAAAAATAATAATTGGTATAAACTGTTATATTTCATTGTATGCATTTATACCTATTTGTTGCCGACAACAACAGCTTGATGGCAACAACAACCTTTTTACAACAACATCTCTACAGCAGCCCATCCAAATTTCCGAACATTTCCATGCAAATTGCCCGTTTCCCAAATTGGGGTAACAGGCGAACAGAAATCAGCAGCAAGCAACTGAAAACTGGTATAAACTGTTATAAAAAGTCCAAGTTTCGAACCATTTAGGAGCCGGCGCAAGTAAGCGGAGACTCAAACCCTTTGAATCCAAATTTAGGAATTGTTTTACAACTGCACCTGGGCACACTGAAACTGATCGTCGTTAAATTCAAATTCAAATTTGGCAGTTAAATTCACATTCAAATTTGGCAGTTAAAATATATAAAAAAATTATAAAAAATTCTACATTTGAATTTGAATTTAACTGCCAAATTTGAATTTGAATTTAACTGCTAAATTTGAATGTGAATTTAACTGCCAAATTTGAATTTGAATTTAACGACGATCAGTTTCAGTGTGCCCAGGTGCAGTTGTAAAACAATACCTTAATTTGGATTCAAAGGGTTTGAGTCTCCGCTTACTTGCGCCGGCTCCTAAATGGTTCGAAACTTGGACTTTTTATAACAGTTTATACCAGTTTTCAGTTGCTTGCTGCTGATTTCTGTTCGCCTGTTACCCCAATTTGGGAAACGGGCAATTTGCATGGAAATGTTCGGAAATTTGATGGGCTGCTGTAGAGATGTTGTTGTAAAAAGGTTGTTGTTGCCATCAAGCTGTTGTTGTCGGCATCAAATAGGTATAAATGCATACAATGATATATAAAAGTTTATACCAATTATTATTTTTGCCCAAAAGTTTTTATAACAGTTTATACCAGTTTTCAGTTGCTTGCTGCTGGTTTCTGTTTGCCTGTTACCCCAGTTTGGAAAGCGGCAAAATTTTAGAAATTTTGCTCACTTGCATCAGTGATGCTCACTTGCATCAGTGATGCTCACTTGCATCAGTGATGCTCATGTGCATCAGTGATGCTCATCTGGCTATATTTTGCAATATTGGGGGGCAATAAAATCCGGCTATATGGCAGTGATGCTCATCTAGCTATTTTGCCATATTGGGAGGCTATAAAATCAGGCTTAACGGCAGTGATGCGCATCTAGCTATTTTGCATTATTGGGAGAAAATGGCATTTCACTAACTGCCAGTGATGCTCATCTAGCTATTTTGCTTTAAAATGCCATCTCACTTACTACCAGTGATGCTCATTTCATTGTTCTTATATAAGAAAAATAAAATAAAACAAAATAATATAAAATAATGTTTTTCATTGTTTTTATTTAGGTTCATTAACATAGAATAAAATAAAGTATTTTAAAATTAAAATGTTGCTTGTTGTGTTCGTTGCTATTGTTGTTAAAGTAGCCGGCAGACCTGACTGTCGGTGTTCTCTCCTTATCCTTGATTCCTGATCCCTATTCCTCCATTCCCATCCCTTATCCACCATCCTTTTGCGTGTGTCGTTGGTCCTTTCCCTTGGTTCTTGGCCCGGGTGGGTGTCAGGTGTACTGATTCTGATGACTAGGAGCGATGGCGATCGCAATGACGATGGAAAGTCTGTAATTGAAAAGAGAAAAATAGCAAATTAAAAACTAAAAAAGGCATAACTCTGTCAAAAATGCCTTAATTTGCATTCGGAAAGCGGTGTTATGTTAGTTTTTATATGGTTAACAAATCTGCTTACTTAGTTAGAAATTAAAAATTTTATCAAATTTTGAGAATTTTAATGATGTAACCCCTTATAAAATTTTCCAAAAATGGCAAAAAAATCGATTTCTTCCTGACATATCTAGAAAGATTCCCCTGTTGATGCTGATCAAGAATATATATGGTTTATAGGGTCGGAAACGTCTCCTTCACTGCGTTGCAAACATTTGACTGAAATTATAATACCCTGCAAGGGTATAAATATATTTAAAGAATACGTTTGTTTAACGGTTTAAAGGGGATAAGAGGCCCAAAAGACCAGTAATTAAAGTCATAGATATTCCAATTCGCCATTAAAAATTTAATTTATTATATTTAATTTTATATTTTCGAAAGAATATAACCGAAAATACTCAGAAGATGAGTTCGGAATGTTTACCAAAATAATCACTTAATTTATTATTTTTAAATTTAAAACATTTACACACCATTGCTTTCACAAAAACTTAATCTTGATATATTTAGTTCTCCTGGCTAATTAATAAACAACAACCTAATTAACAAATAAGGAAAATAAAATGAATTCGCAAAATAATATTTTTAATGAAATTTTTAAAATATGTAACTGCCATGGCCTCTGTAGGGTTAAGAGCTGCCACTTTTGGTTGCATAAGGTGGCAGCACTTCTTTGTTGTCAGCGCATCGTGGTGAATGGCCAAGTAAACAAACGGGCGGAATTATTTGAGCAACTCCGGCTTCCCACTAAATTGGCTATAATTCAGCAAATAAATAAGATACAATTATAATTACTTTATAATGGCCGATAAACCATCCACCGGGGAAGCCCCCAAGCCCGTCCTGCTGACAGCAGCTGCCAAAAAGGCAATGCCCGAAACATATAACTTGCCATCAGCTTTTGCCGGCGAGGAAAAGCCGGAAAACCCGGACAGAGCGCTAGGGCAGCCCACCGCTTACAGCATGCGTCCAGCTTTTGGCGAGATGTTTCCCCTGCCCACCATAAAGCACATCATGAACACCGTGATGGCCGAGAAGCTGAAGGGTAAGCTCAGCGGAAAAATCGAACACACGCCGGTTGCCAGGCAACTCAACTTATGCCTTCCAATTGCAGACAAAACGTATGACAAGGATGTGGCCAAGACCTGGACGAGCGAGATAGCCGATGCGGTGAACCAGCAGATAGCCACCAGTGCCAAGGTGAAGCGCTACAAGCACGTGGTTCAGGTGATGATCGGCCAGGAGCTGGGGGCCGGCGCCACCTACAATTCGCGCTGCTGCTGGGACTGCGATTGTGATACCTCCGTTTCCGAGGTCTTTAGCAACACCAGTCTCTTCTGCGTGTGCACCGTGTTTGGCACTTACCAGTACTAGGACCAGGACGGGGGAACTGATTAGGCTAAGGACAACCTCACTAGATATTTATTAGCAAAAGGGTGAGCTTATATTAACTGGGGTATAGCTGGGATCTAAATGAAATAGATTTCTAAAATACCCCTCATATATATTTACATCTGCAAACTACAAGTAACCAACTGTCGGAAACACCAAAAGGTATTCCATCACTTTCGTCGCGACCTTGCCTCGTCGTCGTGCTTCATTGGATGCGCACGTTCAGCGGATTCAGTATGCGGCCCGACATCACAGCCACGTCCAGGTCGCGATCGATGATGAAAAACAGAAACGGGTGGTTCACGGAGATCTGTATGGGCTTCGTTTGAGCTCCATAGTTGCCTAGCGAGGGAGCGAAAGGAAGTGTTTATTGCACCTTTGTCTTTGCCAGATGTTGCAGCAGCAGCAGCAGGTGGGGCAATCTGAAGATGCGCGTTGCGGCCCACTGCCTCCGTTGGAGGTGCGCTGCTGCAATGCGAGACACTTACGCTTCAGCTGATTGATGGGATGCGTACGGATGGTGACGTCTATGGATTGCTCAATGTGCCGCACATAGACGCCCTTCTCATCAGTCATGGGTCGGAAATCGGCGCGGTTCGGCTCGAAGACGTCGCAACTGCAACGAAAGTAAAAGTGAGCCCGGGAGCACCTAGCAGCTAACACCTGGAGTCGCCACCAATCATCTTACATGCCCATCTGCAGTGCAACGAAAAAGAAAAGCAATAAAGACACACAGCTCTAAAGCGCAATCCGCTAATGCAAACTCACATTCTGCAGGTCGTTGGTGAGAAACATGGTCCCGTGGAGCTTGAAGTCGGGTATGATGGCCTGCACCCAGCGCGGCTTCAGCTGCTTGCGCATCAGTCGGAGGGTGGGTCCCAGCTTCAGGGAGGCGGCGGCGGCCACGATGTCCGTGTGGTAGTCGGGCAGCAGGATCATCAGGTTGTACTCGGCCGTGTCCAGCTCCAGCTCCAGCACGCTCATCTTGAGGTGCTCGAAGTATTTGTAGTACAGCACCGCATTGTAGACCTTGAAGGTGGTGTGTACCACCTGCTGGTTGCCCAGGTAAAACACGTGGCTAATCACATCCGTGTTGTAGTTGGACTTGCCCTCCGCTGCCTCCGCCACGTAGTGCGGCTCAAAGTCGTTGGTTATGGGGGCAAAGGCGGCCGGCACAGGCGGCGGCGGAAAGTGCAGCGGGTGGTGTGGAACGTGCGTGTGCGGATTGAAAAGCGTGAGGAAGAGATTCGCATCTAGGTCCTTGTAGGAAGCCGGCAGGGCATGTCGCTTGTGTCGCGCCGCCTTGGCGTTGCGGGGCTGCGTGATATTCGCTGTCTGGGGAGGCGCTGAAATGGAAATTACCTGGCGCAGTGGCGATGGCTTCCGCTCCGCCACCTGGCGGGCCATCATCGGCATGGCCATTGTCCGGGCGCTGGGCAGGTAAATGGGCTTCGGCGTGATCGGATTCGAGTGCTTCAGCGGCGCCTGGAGCTTGCTGGTGGGCAGCCGGGAGACGCGTGCCTTCTGGATGCGCAGCAAGGGCTCGGCATCCTCCTCGGCCACAAAGGCGGACACCAGCTCGGCCGCCTCATCTTCCGCAGCGGGCTCTGCTGCCTCCTCCCCTGAGGCGGCCGGTGCTTCGGTGGTGGCCTCCGTCTCCTCTGGAGCCTCTGTCGTGGCTGGTGGCTCGGTTGTCGTAGTTTCTGCCACCTCTGTGGTCGTCGTGGCTGGCGCCTCTGTTGTGGCTTCCGCATCCTTTAAGGTGGTGGTTTCCGTTTCCATATCCCCGGTCGTGGTGTTGCTGGCCATAGTGGTATTGACCAACTCGGCGTCTGAGGTCAAATTGGCCGGCGTTGCGGACAGCATGTCCACACTAAGGTCGTAACCATAGAACATGAGAACGGTTTCAAAGTCCTTCAGGACCGTCACATTGCCCTTGTTCAAGCTGAGTCCCTTGAGAGGATTGTCGGAGCCAAAGAAATAGGTCTGAAATATACATATAATATGATTATTTATAAGATTTTTGATCTATATAAAAGAATTAAGAAGAGAAAGATGCTATTTAACCAAGTTAAAAGTCCTTGTCGAATATTTACATTTATTTAATTATTTCGCCAATGGAAAGAAGCCTTATCTAGCTAATTAAATATATTTAACTAGCCTAACTAATATTACGTCTTTACATTTGAATTGCAACTACTGAATCTAATCGTTAATTTTTGCTCCCGCAATACACCTTCGATAAGGGCTATTAATTCGGCTTAGAACATGGCTAAATCCCTACAACGATCCATAGTAAGCACATAATGATTGCCAATTAAAAAATCTATTCACTCGGACAATTGACTGTGCTCGCTTTTGGGGAGATTATTCGGAGTGGAGGTCGACGAACTATTGAAACCCGATTAGAGATCGATCGAGCACTGTGGCCATAGGCCTGGGGCGGCTATTTGTTTGGCGGTGTACACGCAAATTCCGTTTTTTTAAACTTTGTTCTTTATCAATGACCACTTGACCGCCACTCGGCACTCCGTACTCCGCGACCTGCCCACTCCCGATGAGTGCCTAGCCAGGCATGTAAATGTGCGTTTTTGGATGGTTTTTTCGAGTGGTGGCCTCCCGCTGGCTGTGGGTTAAGTTCATCGCTGCCACATTGGCCCATTTTTTGTAAAGCCCCACTGCCTACTCACCCGCAATCGTCGGTGGATGTCGCGGTATCCCACTCGGATGACGTCACGATTGTTGGGCAATTGCAGTACATTGCGCAGCTCGCCGGCACTGTTGCCCGCGGATCCCTCGTAGAGGGCCACCAGGACACTGACCAAGGCGGTGGGCGAGAAGGCAAAGTTGTTCCGATTGAGAATAGAGTGGTAATGAAGCAGGCGATGGGTCAGGTCGTTGGTTAGGTCGACCATCACCTCGGCGGGTGTTAGCTCCTTGGTGGCCAGCACCTGGGGTGGCAGGTGGTCCAGCGGCGTCAGCGGAGGCGGTGGGAAATGGGGATGCGGGAAGCCGCTGGCCCGAAACTCCTCGTGGTCGATCTGTATGTAGTGGGCCTCCGCCTGGATGAGAAGAACGATCAGCCAGGCGCACGGTGGCGGGAGCAAGCGAGCCATGACAATGCAGGCGACCTTGCTCTGGCAACGAACTGATTGATAGCGCACTTAGCACTCTGATTGTCGCGTTCGCGGCTTTTTAGCAACCAAATTGGCAATCTCTATCCGCGTCCATAAATTGCACTGTGTTCATTATATTCCACTGGTTTTTATTTCAGTTTTTATGCCCCAACCCCGAATCAATTTGCACTCAAGGTGATGACTATTCGGAAATTTGTCAACCGTCAAGCGGTTAGCGTTTTCCACACATTTCCCGATGCAATGGATCGCGTATGGCTCTGGGCTTTTTGGGGTCCGCTCCGGATTTCGAACTGATTCGCGTGATTGCTGCTGCCAAACTGAAGTTGGCTCGAGTTCGGCGGCTCGTCTCATCGAGCTCGGCTCCATGGCTCTAGCCAGTCGATGTTGGGGCATGGGAAGTAACATGACATAGGAGCGCTAAGGAATTTATTCCAGGAAAAATTATAATATTTTATTAAATTAAATATATTAAGAAATTATATTAAAAAGGTTTTTGAGTATCTAATTTGTCATACTTTAAGATGTTTTTGAGTTTTATTTAGGAAAACTTAAATTCAATGTTATATAATAAATATTTTGTTGTAAAAATGTTTCTAAAAATTGTTGTTGTAGTAGGAAAAACACAATTTTCTAGCCAATAATAATAACTAATAGATTAATCGATTTCATTGCAATGGAAGAGGTGTAAATCGATGAAAGTAGGCCAAAATGAATTAGTTTTATACAACAAGTATTCCCATAGGTTCGATGTCGCTGATGATATCTGTTTTAATGGAAATGACAGGCTTCAACACTTCCATATTGATATATTCCGGCTATACCATAGTTGCTTTGAAGGAAGAGAGTGGAAAGGTCATGCCGTCGCTGAGACGCCTCGTCCACCTTGGCCTGTGCTTCTTTTGTGCCCTAAATGGAATTGTCGACTTCTACGCGGACTTTCGCTCGGGTAGACTGCGCTGGTCTCGCTTCCTGAGCATCTACCGCATAGTGCACAACCTTTTGGTCCTCGTCCTGACAACCCTGTTGCTGCTAGAGTTTTGGAATAATTACTTTCGAGAAAGCAGGGACTCCATACAGCTGACGCTGAATTTCTTCGCCTATTTCCTTATGGTCTATCTCACGATAATCAGCTGCATAGACTGTTCCATCCGGTTACAAGGAAGAATCATCAGAACCCTGAAAAAGTTGCAGTGCCAGGAAGAGCTAGGCCGACGCAGAGGATATACATTGTCCAAGGGCAAGGAGCGATTCCTGGACTGCCTGTTACTCCTCCTCATAGCCATCCTAACCCTTAGGATTGGCATCCATGTGGCCCTGAATGTTCTCCACTCCAGGATGGGATTCCGTCACCCGTGCTACTGTTTTATGTCCGAGTGCATGATCTTTGCGATGAACAGCCTGGCCTTTCTTATCCTAACTGATATCTGCCGGTGCTGGTGGCGCATGGAGTCCGGACTGAAGGCAATACTCCAGGACCCCAAGCCGAGAACGGTCGCCTACCAACTACAGCAGATTCGAAGGCTGGAGGCCATGTCTCAGTGCCTTATCGATCTAACCGCGGAGGTGTGTGGCATCTTTCAGTTCGTGTTCTTCTGCTACTTGATCCGCAATCTATGGAGCGGCATCGTTGTGGGTTACCTGCTCATCCGCATGTTCCTGGGACATGGACGCTCCGACGTTGAGTTCATGTATCTGGTGCTGGCCTTTGTCACCTGCATCCAACCGCTGATGTTCTCGTTGCTGATGAGCTCTGTGACCCACACGACGGGTTCCCTGCTCGAAGTGGCCAAGCAGATTGTGCGTACACCCTGCAGGCGGAATGCTCAGGTGGATCGAAAGGTGAGTTTCCTGGCTCCTTAGACCCTAATGGACTGAAGCTAGAGTGTAGGGCTTCTTTCAGATGGAGTGGTTTTCGCTACAACTCGCAAGGCAGCACACTTATATCACGGTTTTCGGCACATTTCGCATGAACCGCTCGCTGGCCTTCCGGAGCTCCTCGGTCATCCTTTTGCACGTCCTGTACATGGTGCAAAGCGACTACTCATCGATGTTTAAATGAGGTCAAGACCCTTTTTATTATAGCTTTTTAAGTATTTTATTTCCCACCAATAAAAAGCACATATGGTTAGTTTTGAAAGTATCATCTTGCTCTTGTCTTTTCTGTTTTTATTTTTATTTTATTATAGAATTTTTATCTTGTCCTGCTTAGTTCATACAATTAGTTGTTTACCGTTTACGTTTATGTTTTTTCCATTCTGATTTCTAGTTACTGTTTAAAATCAACATTCATAAACACGTCCATTGAAATGATCTGATGGAGCTCTTTGCTTGTATATTTTCATTCGCTTAAAATAGTCTGGAAAATGATTTACCTTGTGGGAGTTCTTATAGCGAGAATGCTGTTAGAGTTTATAATGCTTCGGTGTGAGGTGAGGTGAGCTGAGTGGGTGAGTTTTACGTACAATTGCGCCTCCAGACGAGGGTCACCGGGGTAATGATTGATTTGGGTCTGGGTCTGGGACGTGGACGTGAAGCATAAGAAGCAACCGAAGCAACTGAGCACTAAAGTATCTCTATCTCTCTAGCTGCAGATCTGATCTGTACATCGGGTGTAAATATACAAATATGCCGTTTGCCAGTGTGTATATATAAGACGCAAAATATATATATATATTTGTGATCTGTAGTCTGTGTGTGAGTGTGTTCGTTCTGTTTGTTTCCCTTGGCTCCTCTATTTTTTTTGTTCTGTTTGCTTGTTTGTCTAAAAATGTTCGCGCTTAAAACGTTCTCCGTTAGTTTCTGCACAATTTGCTTTGCAAAAAATATACTGTGCCCGCCCAGGGACCCAGGACATCGCAGGACGTGCTGTGTCCCTGTGCGGGCTCTCTCTCTCTCTGTCTCTGTATCTCATTCAGTTTCGTAGGTACTCGATTCTCACCAATGTTCAATTGAAGTGTTAAACATCTCTGCTGCTGCTGCGCCGCCTTACGGACACTATATAGGTATATGTGGGTGCAAGTGGGCTAAGTTAAGTAGTAGTAGTAGTTTTAGGGGTCACTAGTGATTGAGTTTGGTTTCTGGGTTCTGGGTCCTCGAGTTTTTCTAGCTGCTACCTTACGTAAATTTCGGCGTGGACCAAGCACAACAGTGCGTATGAGTAATGTGTCTGCAGGGGCCATTGTCAGAAGGGAGTAGATCGTCCTCGTTCGCTATTCGTAATTTCGGTTAGATATATGTATGCATATGGTTATATAAGTACTGGTATTTAAATATATACTGTATACATGTATAATATATGCTTATAGAGCTGCTGCTGCTTCTGTTTCTGCTTTTTAACATGGAATATACACGACACTTAGTTGCTGGTTATTTATTTGGTTTTATATGGTTTCTCCTGGCTCTTTCATCTTCTCTTAGCTTTTCTTTGTTCTTTGTTCTTTTGCTTTTGTTTTCGTACTCGTATTCGTATTGATTTTCGTTTTTCTTTTTCTTGTTCTTGTTTTGTTTTTCTTTTTGTTTTTGTTTGGAAATGCAAAACTCAGTTACGCTAGCTCGTAATCGTATTCGTAATCGTAATATTATCCGTGTATCTGTGTGTGGTGTCTGGTGTGCCTTGTGTGTGTTTCTGCTTTACTTTCACCTGCTCCAGGCCTGCGCCTCTGGCCGTGGTGGGCGTGGCGTACGCCACCCACCTGTGCCGCCTTTGTACCTTTTTATTTTGGTGATCATCTGCGACGCGTCGAACCTTCGCTGTCGCTGCCTTTAAAGTATGCTCTATCCTAACTTTGCAAGCAGAACCGAGTTTTAAGTACACAGTAGGGATAAACGTACGTAAAGGTATTTATATTGTATCTTAACAGCAAACAAGTCAACAATGTGTAAACAAAAACAAGGATGAGGGCGGGGGGAATCAATCGCGATCCGATAGGGTACATTATACATGTCTCCTTTTAGATATCTCTATAGATGTGGACACAACAACAAGTAATTATCATAGATTTTTGCAGTATCAGTATTATCAGTATTATTCATCGCTTACGAACTACACATAAAAACACGAAGAGTTCAAGGTTCAAGGACGAAGATGAATATGAGAGTGCGCGTGTGCCTGGGGGGATGGTTGCCCCTAATGCTAGACATACAAGTACAAATACTAATACAAACGTGGTGGGAACCGGGGGTAGGTAGTGGGGGCGTCTAAATTTAATCAAGTCGAGTCACAAGTCAATTCAATCATTCAAAGTATTCTCTCATACATATATCGCCTAGATCCTAATAAAGTTCTCTCGGCCGTCAACTAAACCGATTATTGTTACATATTAATTGTTAATCTTTAATCTTTAATCGTTAATCATTAATCGTAATTGTTAAGTGTTAATTGTTAGGTTTCATTTTTAAATTTAATTTTTAGGATTTCCTTGAAATTTCTGTTAACCGAAATTCCTGGGTCTCGGTCGCCCCAGAACAAAAAGTCTTTGTTTTCGAAATCAGGGTTGCTTGCATTTAGCCAATTTTGAAGACATCTAGTGGTTTCAGTTAGCCAGCCAATCAATCAATCAATCAATGCAAAATAATTGAATACAATTTCGGCCGAAGTTCTCATCGCAGCAGTATCAAAACAATTGTCCTTTGCCAATTATCATAAATTTAAATTGTAAAAATGTTACAACAACTCTCGGGTAGAAAAACTTATGTAGAACCTATTATTGAAACGATGCCCTATGCAAGATGATTTCACTTTTACTGATTCTCGTGATCCATCATTCTCGCTTCGTATGTTTGTTTTTTTCTTTTTGTTTTTTTTGTTTGAAGTATCAGTCAGTTTACAAGAATGGCGAATGTCTAATGTCGAATGTGTGCGATGCATGAGAGAGGTGACACTATCCCCCAAAGTACGAGGGGATGTTTGATTGTATAAACAGCGTATTGCTTTCTTCAAATTTTGTTCTTTGTGATTTTTTTAAAGCAGATTGAATGAGTCGAGTGATAGGCATGAGAGCGTTGGAAGAGCTGCCAAGATATCGACTTAAGATCTCGATTCTTCTGCAGCTCTTGGACTTGGATGATGCTTCGTTGCTGGCAGTGTAGAGCACTTTGTTCGTTCGTTTTCCGACCAACAACTACCTAGACGGGCTTTACAGCTCCACTATCCTCTAGTACTATCCCCAGATAGCAGCTCTGCTCCGTATCATCATCGCCATTGTTGGTGAAAATGGATAAATGCGAGGTGCGAAGTGGTTAGAAGAGGACTGTGATTGTGACGGTGAAAACGCAGCTAAATCAAGGATGCGCAAGTCTTTTGCTGGATACTCACTAAACTAACCGCTTTAATTTAATTTAATGCACTTAATCTTAAATGGAGTTCTCAATGTCTAGCACCGTTCGAGCTGCCTGGCTGATATGCGCGCGTGAGTGCGGTGTGTTGTGTGTGCGAGTGTGTGTGTGTGTGGTGTGTCTATATAAAAATGAACGAGTCAAATAAATCAGCCTTATATTGAATGCAATTTTGTTTTTTTTTTTTTTTTTATAGTTTTTGTGGTTTTACAATTAATTTCGCTCTCCAATTTTCCAATTATCCAAAAAAGGTGAACACCAACACACACACACAATGACAAAGACCAGGCCGCAAAACGGATATATGTAGATATCCCTAAGCCCCTGTGGCTGCACACCTAAATGTACTGTATATATGTATATAATGTAAGTATCAATTACTTAGTTATATCGTTTAGTGGATGCAACATACCGCGCTGAACCAGCATTCGCTGGTGAGATTTCTAATTATAATCGAGCTTGAATCCTCGCTGAGTCCTTCCTAGCTTCCTAGCTTAAGTTAATGTTATGTTTACACATCAATAACGACGATAAGTATCAGAAGAAATATCATAAGTTTCCATCTACATGCATATTATCTTATTTTCACGTACACGGAGGCAAATATGCCCGATATTATAATTTGTAGTTTTATGTTTTTATAGATATAAACGCATCGGTCTGTCTTATGCAAGCACCTCTCTATCCGTATCTGTAGATCGTCAACGAAAGAACTATATATTTAAGAATCTGAAGCATTCGAAAGTTATGCAATGCGATCTTTTCTACGTCTGAGACCCTGGGAGAAACCATGACTGTTCGAGAAATGCATTCAATCGTCGTCTTCCGGAGGGGAAACAGGTGTAGAGAGTCCGGGATTACGGATCGTAACGGTCTATCCGAAACACAAGATAAAAACTGAAACTCAAAACTGAAATGAAGAAAATCATAATGAAAACAAGGTTTTTGGTTTTTGTTTTGTTTAATTATAAATAACAATTGTATTTTTGTTGGTTTTGTTTGTTTTTTTTTTAATAAAATGGGTGTTCTTGTTGTTGTTGTGTTGCTTTCTTTTCAAGAAAAAAGAAGAACTAAAAGAAATATTATATTTCTCGCTATTGAGTGAATCTATGTAGCATTCACGTTCGATGGATTAGAGCTTGATAGATCTACCACTATATGTTCTTCTGATTCTGATTCTTCTCCTCTGATGTCACTCTTCTTCGTTGGTTGCTGTTGTTGTTGGTTCAGGCCAGGTCCAAGGACCGCCTGGGATTTCTTGCTCTTTTCGTGATCATGGTAATCGTACACGTAAAATAGTAAGAAATATTAGCGATAATTATATAATAATGGATAGTTTTCTTTTCCTTTCTTTTCTCGCTTGCTTGCTTTCTTGGTTGCTTGTTTCTCTAAAAATATCACTTAAGTTTAAATAATTTCCAGAACGCAACGAAATAGATCGAGTGTACGTATGTACTTAGCTACGTAGTGTTTGGGGTGTGTGTTTCTGTGTCAGTGTGGTGTGTGTGTGTGTGTAGGTAGGGTGCACGAAAATTAGCAAGAAAAACAATAATAATGATGACAATAATCATACGCGTAATCATAAATCGTAATAAAGACAGACAAAAAGTAAGTAAAATGTTTTTTTTTTTGTAATTTCTCTCCGTTCTCTCAGTTTGCATTTTACTCCTCCGACTTGTTGTTGTTGTTGTTGTTGTGGGTTTGATTAAACTTATAGTATTAATAAAAACGAAATACAAGTGTAAAAATGTTGTTAAACTTTTTCGCATTACACAAAAAATGGCCACCATTATGAATTTCATTCAAATCACGGCAAACAATTTCAATGAAATTATCGCTTGCGTGTTTTCTCCTTACGGTTTTTAAGCTCAAGCTCCTCGTTCTTTCTTTTATCAATTCTTTCTTATTTTCCTTTCTTTGATTTCCCCCTTCTGGCTTTTCTTTTTTCCATTAAACTGTTTAAAGCTGCTGCCGCTCTTAAGCTCAAATTTCCCTTCTTTATAACATATCTCTCTCTTTTTTCCCAAGCTTTTCCAATCCTAATTCCTCGTTCAGCTTTCCTCCTTTCCGTTTTCCTCGCTTTTCCACGCGTGTGTGGGTGTGTAATATGGGGATTCTATATTTACATATTCTAGACTTTAGTTTGTACTTCCAATTTGGTTAAGAATTCCTTGTGTATTTTATCTTTTCTTCTCCGTAAATTGCCTTTCCTCCTCGATCTCAGTTATATCGATGCTTATATAAGATATATATATGTATATATTCCTCGCAAACCTCGCTGGGTCTTTTCTTTGTGACGTCATTGTATTGTATGTTTATACCGTAATTTGAACAATTCACAACAGTTGCACAACGCAAAAAGTTTTTTTTGTTTTTGTCAATTTTAAATCTTTAAATCTTAGATTTTAGTCATAAGTTCGTTACAAATTAATCAATAGACGAATTTCTCTCGTTTTTCGTTTTTGTTTGTGTTTTGTTTTTTTGTTTAGAAAATATCAACTTAACAATGTATTAATAAAAATTTGAACATGTTTGAAAAACGTTTTTCCTTCTGGCTCCAATATAGAAATTTTGAAAGTGGCTGTTTTTTAGGTTCTTCAAGGATCTAACTCGATCTCTCCTTTTCTGTCTGTTATCTGTTATCTGTTAATTGTGTGTCTGTCGTCGGCCTGTCTGTGTCTGTTTGTTTGCTTGCTTTCTTGGTTTTTTTGTTTAAAATTCACTACATTTAAGTTTAAGTTGCTCGTTATGTCTATATGTTACAGAGTAGCGTGGGCTTGGGGGTCTTGGGATCTGGGTTCTGGCCGGGGTTCGGGTTCGGGTTTGGGCTTGGGTAATTGTTCTATGGATGTTTGACAGTCTGTGGACCTTTGGGTGGCGGTGTGTCGGGTGTGCTCTGGCTGGGTGCTTAATTAACTAGATTATTTAGCTGTGTGTCCTTCTCTATTGCCGTCCTCGTATGCATGAAGTTTGATTAATACTTAACTCTTAGCGCTTTAACACACACATACAAATTGTTGAAACGGTTTCGTTTTGTTTTGGATTTGAATTACACAATGATTATGCAAGTAATTTAACTATTTGTTTGTCGTTTATGCCTATTATATAATGTGTAGATGCAACGCCTTGAATATTTAATATCTGCATATCTTTAGGTTTTCGTTTCGTTTCGTTTTTGAATATTCTGCTTTATAGTTTGCCATTTTGATTAGTTTTTGTTTTGAGTTTGTTTAGCTTTTGTTTATGCTTTCCATTTTCTTTGTTTAGAGCGAGAAGTAGAACAGAAATTGCACTTAATACTAGAAAAAAATTTACTAGAGTTCTTACAAACTAAAAAAAAATCAAATGTATATTTGCTTTAAATATTGTTTCTTTTGTTTTGTTTGTTGTTTATGTTTGAATTCATTCTTTCCTCCTTTCGCTTTCTTTTTTTTTTTTTGCTGTTTTTTCTTTTGCTTTTTTTATGTGTTTGTTTTATGTAAAACAGCTGGCATACACGAATTTAATCTGTTTTTCTGTTTTTTTTTTTGTATATAAAAATGTGCCAACTGCTGCTGGTTTGCTGTTGCTTATTTTGCTTTGTTTTGTTTTGTTTTACTTTTTGTTTTGCTTGTTTTTAACATAAGAATTAACAAAGTCATTTTATAAATAAATATTGTATAGGTTTATATGTATATTTACGCACTGTAATAATAGTCATAATGATAGTAATAATAATAATAATTAGATTATTGTAGATTGCAAATGTTGCCCGGGCGCAAATGCTGTCAGCAACATTTGCACGGCAGTTGGCGAACACCTGCACAACAACAAAAGAGATACCGTTACGTGTTTAAGGTGCACAATTCAATGCAGAGTAAATAAGAAGAGACCATTTTTCGTTTGCATTTTGCATTTGTCGGGCTTCCTCCTCCGTGGGCAGCAGCCACAATCCTCCAGAGCTCGGCGGGAGACGATCGACGGTCGTGGGTAGGCGGTAGCTGTCCTAGCCCTGCATCAGCACGGCCTGCGCCTGTTGCTGTTGCTGCTGCTGGTGCTGGCTGGCGGCTGCTCGGCTCCAGGCCAGCAGGCCATTGGCCGCAGCCACCTGCTCCTCCTCCTGATCCGTCGCCTCCGCCATCTGCTCCTCCTCATCCTCTGCCTGATCCTGATCCTCCTCCTCGTCGTCCTCCTCCTGCTCCGCTTGACTCATCGACGAAATGGGCGCCACAATCACCGAGGTGGCCACACTGCGTATGCGCACCGGCCGATTGCTGATCGTGTTGCTGTTGGCGGTCACCGCATACGGATGCACCTGTCCGCCGCCGTACCGCTTGTTCGTCTTGATGGTCAGCGAGGCGGGCAGCTGCTTGCCCGCAGCCACCTCTGCTGCCAGCCGCACCACCGTGGTGGTCATCTTGCTGGCCGCTGGACTCGGACTTGGACTGTGTGTGGGATTCGGATTCGAAGTGGTTGTTGCTGGATGGGGAGTTGATGCTGCTGCTGCTGCCTTGGATAGGTGCGCCGACGCCTGGTTTGCCGCCTCCGTCGACGACTTCTGCCGCTTTCAGTCGCCGAAGCGGCTGCACGCCTTCTTCCACCGGCACTGGGTGCACCACTGGTCGCGCTTCTCCATGCCGTACACCTTGCGGCACTTCTTGTTCTCGCCGCGCGTCCTCTTGCCGGGCGAGTGGGGCGTGTGCTTTGCCGCCGCCTGCTGCCCCGCCAGGTGCTGCAGGGGATTGCTGCCGTTGCTGCTGCTGTGGTTGTTGTTGTGGGCAACCATGTTGCCGGCAGTTGTCTGTGGATGCTGATGCGGCCGCATGTGCTGCTGCTGCTGCTGCTGGTGGTGCAGCTGCTGATGCGGATGCTGCTGCGCCGGATGGTAGTTGGGCGTGATCGTCACACTGGACAGGAGATGCTGCTGATGCTGCTGCTGGCTGTGGTGCTGCTGCTGGTGGTGCTGCTGCGTATGCGGCTGCTGCTGCTGGCTGTGGTGCGCCGTGACCGTGACATTCTGCTGCGACAGCTGCTGCAGCATGTTGTTGGCACTGCTGTTGCTGTGGATCACCGGACTGCCGCTGCCGCTGCTGTTGCTGCTGCTGCTGGTGGCGGTGCTGCTGCCACTGCTGCCGGCATAGTTGTGGTGGTGCGTGTGATGGCTGCTGTGGTGCTGCTGCTGGACGTTCGTCGGCGATGGATATGGCGCTACCGAGTGGGTCAGACGGCTGGACGACGAGCGAGCGTGCTTGCTGAGCGGCGAGGAGGCGGCTGCAGTGGGCGTTCCCAGCCCCGCTGCCATTCCCGCTCCAGTGACCGTGCCGGTGCCACCGCCCGCCGCCGCCGCCGGCCAGGTGTAGTTGTGGTGGGCCAGGTGCGAAGTGGGTATGCAGCTGGTGTTGTTGTTCTGCAGCTGCTGCTGGTGGGTGCTCGGGATGCTGCTGCTGCCGCTGATGCTGCGGCCGTGCGGCTGCCTTAGGTGGTTGTTGTGGCTCCCAGCGCGTCCTTGCCTGCAAAGAGTGGGATAGGGAAAGGGGTTTCTGGTCAGTTCGGCTGCTCCGGCTAGTGGGACAGGGGAAAACCCACTTGAAATTGCCAACGATCTGCTTCTGGTACTCCGGATCCTCGTGCGGCGGACGCGCCATGTCTCGGTGGCTGAGCGTCGGCTCGGAGGCCAGGCTGGGTGCCTTTACCTCGTCGTCGTCATCGTCTTCCGTGTAGTAGAACTCCTCCTCGTTGTCGCAGTCATTGCTCCTGCAAAGTGGAGGAAATTGATTAAAACCATCTCTCGGGGGCAGTGTTGCGCAAGGTACTGTACCTAAATCGTACCTATATGGTGGCTAAATTTGACCTAAAGTGTGCCTATATTGTACCTAATTTATACCTAAACTGTACCTAATTTATACCTAAAGTGTACCTATTTTATACCTAAATTGTACCGAAACATTTTGACATTCGCGTTGACAACCAAAACGTAATGCCATTCACCGCGAGCGCGCACATGGTATTAAATCTGGTATTTTTATCGTCGTGTGACCAGTCATTTTTTAGGGGTAAATTTCAACTATTTGAGATTTTTTAGGGGGAAAGCCAAACTTTTTTCTGGCAACACCGACTTTTTGCAAAAAAAAAATACGCACGTTCCGTGTGAAATCAATACGAAATCAACAATCCAAGCCAGAACAGCGCGCCAATTGCCATTGTTGTGCAAAAAGGTCACGGCTAGAGGAGGAAAATATTCGCGCGTCTGTCTGTCCGCCCCTGTACTGCAGTGCAAAAGTTCGCTGATAGCAAGAAGAAAAAAAATTGCGCGTCTGTCTGTCTGCCTCTGTGTTGAGTGTTGTGTGTGTGTGCGTGTGTGAGTGGTGCGCGCGTGTGTGTATTGCACGGCCTACATTGTCAATTAAGAAAAGCAGAAAAAGCGAGCGCTGTGATCCCCAGATAAAGTTGAGAAAACCACAGAGATAGCCACAGCACCAGCCAAGATGTCCAGCCTGCGACCCGAGGAGCCGCAGCCCCGCAAACTGTCCGCCGCCGCCGTCGTCTGCCCGCTCAGCAACTGCCAGTTCAGCGGCGTGGTGATCAGCGCTATCGCCGATGAGCAGAAGCTGGAGTTCACCAACAAATACAAGAGCAGCTGCACGCTGCTCTGCAGCTACGATTCCCAGGGAGTGGTGCTACGCATCGTGCCGGGTGAGTGCCCCCAGCAAAGTCGCCTTTCGAGCCCCCATTAACCCTTTAAATCCCCCAGATGATGACCGCAGCCACGTGCTCAAGGAGTATATGATAGCCGCCGACACGGATGCCGCCCAGATGGGGCGACGGAGCTACGCCGTCTCCCTGGACGCCGACAATCTGGTGCTGCGTTTTTCTAGCGACCAGGACCAGCAGCTCTTCCGCAAGGTGGTGGAGAACGTGAAGCATCTGCGGCCCAAGTCCGTGTTCTCGCAACGCACCGAGGAGTCGTCCGCCTCGCAGTACTTCCAGTTCTACGGCTACCTTAGCCAGCAGCAGAACATGATGCAGGATTATGTGAGGACGAGCACCTACCAGCGGGCCATACTGGGCAATGCGGTGGACTTTCAGGTAGGTGTTGGCTAAGACCTTCTACAGGAATTTCCAACTTACGATACCCTTTGTTTCCAGGACAAGGTTGTCTTGGATGTGGGCGCTGGGTCCGGTATTCTTTCCTTCTTCGCTGTGCAGGCTGGCGCCGCCAAAGTGTACGCCATCGAGGCTTCGAACATGGCCCAGTACGCTCAGCAGTTGGTCGAGTCGAACAACGTGCAGCACAAGATCTCTGTGATACCGGGCAAGATCGAGGAGATCGAGCTGCCCGAAAAGGTGGACGTGATTGTGTCGGAGCCCATGGGCTACATGCTCTACAACGAGCGCATGCTGGAGACCTATCTGCACGCCCGCAAGTGGCTGAAGCCGAACGGCAAGATGTATCCCACGCACGGCGACCTGCACATCGCCCCCTTTTCGGACGAGTCGCTCTACTCGGAACAGTACAACAAGGCCAACTTCTGGTATCAGTCGGCCTTCCACGGCGTCGACCTGACCACGCTGCACAAGGAGGGTATGAAGGAGTACTTCCGCCAGCCCATCGTGGACACCTTCGACATACGCATCTGCATGGCCAAGTCGGTGCGGCACGTGTGCGACTTTCTCAACGACAAGGAGGACGACTTGCACTTGATAGGTGAGTGCTCCCACATGGCTTAAGGTGGTCTCCTCTGACATTGCTGTTCTATCGCCCACAGACATCCCCCTGGAGTTCCACATTCTGCAGACTGGCATCTGTCACGGACTGGCCTTCTGGTTTGACGTTGAGTTCAGCGGCAGCAGTCAGAACGTGTGGCTCTCGACGTCGCCCACGGCGCCTCTGACACATTGGTACCAGGTGCGCTGCCTGCTGCCCATGCCCATCTTTATTAAGCAGGGCCAGACGCTTACGGGTCGCGTCCTACTGGAGGCGAACCGGCGGCAGTCGTACGATGTGACCATCGACCTGCATATCGAGGGCACGTTGATCTCATCGAGCAACACCCTGGACCTGAAGAATCCGTATTTTCGGTACACGGGGGCGCCGGTGCAGGCGCCGCCGGGGACTAGTACGCAGAGTCCTTCTGAGCAGTACTGGACGCAGATGGACACGCAGGGATCGCGCAACTGTGAGAGCTTTGCAAGACCATTCCCTTAGAGAGATCTGAACTAATTGAGTGTGTGTTTTCCACCTAGCTTCTAGCATGCTAAACGGCGGCCTCAGCGTCAATGGAATCGGGGATGGCAGTATGGACATCACCCACGGACTAATGCATCCGCACTAAGGAGGCGACGGCGGGGAATCGAAAAATAAACATCTTTCTGGGAATTCTCTAAGCTATTCAAGTCCACTCAACTCTTATGATTGATTCTCCTTTTGTCAGTCTTTATTGTTTGTTACCCCTTTATGCTTATGCTTACGCTTAGGTTATTTATTGAACAGTGTAAATTATTTTCTGCACACCTTTCCCCCCATCCGCTCCCCTTCTACCCTCTTCCCCCTTATTTTACGCACTCGAAGCTCTTTTAATTTATCGGAGGAATCCCAGCCACCACAAAACAATCAACAAATCAAGGCAGACTAATGTAGTTGTTTAGAACACGCAGCATATTAATAAGCCTAAGCTAATTTTAGCCGATAGTAATTAGTGTTTTTAAACCGTAAGCGAACAATGTAATCGCGATATCTAGCCCGCACGGGACTCTGCGCTTCAGGAAGTTTCTTAGTTAATTGCAAAGCTTTGAACAAACCAACATATTCAGATTGTACTCTGTATCTAATTACGTGTGTTATTATATATTATATTGTGTATACCTCTCTCCAAGCTAGTTTCAATTTTTTGTATTCGTACTTGTTCTTGTCGGCCGTGTTTTGTGTTTACCCCTTAGTTCGATTCAAATTGTAAGAAATTGCTCATAGGTTTTAGTGTTAAGTTACGAGAGATTATACATATATTGTCCCTGGCTTTTCTTCCGCCACCCTGCCCGGATCCCGACGTAGATCGCTGCCAGCCTGCCAAGCGCTATTTAAGAATATATATCTAGACATACACACACACTCAAAACACATTCTTGTGCATCCTATATGCGTACTGTACTTTATA